CAGAGATCGGACGTTATTTTCTTCCATAATTTACATACACATTAAGACCTAACTAAAATTTTCGCGTCCAATTTCAGTAGTATGTCGAATAATAAATCTTTGGGAAGGGGAAGGTCATTCGCCATCTCCTCGTCTATTTTTTTCCTTGCTCTTTGAAAACGCTGAAAAGAACTTCATCTTTTTTTTTCGGGTGCCAATATATTTGTTATTCAGCTTGAACTCTTTGGGGATATATATCTATAATATATTATAAAGGAGAAACCAGAGAGAGAAACTGGTGTATATTTCCTAGAGTGCCACATAAAAAAAAAATCCTATGTAGCATTATTCTATGAATCCAAAATAAAAAAACTTTGTATAATAACGAATAAAGTCCTCATAAGTTTAATCAATATAATTTACGTACAATATTAATTTGCTTAGTTTTTTTCATACCATTATAAAACATAATATGACCTCTACTTTCATTAACACTAAGATTAAACTTTTTCACAATTTACACAATATTTAATTTGACATTATATATAAATTTATATTTTTATATTTGTAAGTAGCTCATATAATTTATATTTAATCATATCATATATACCATCACAACTCATTAACATCATTTGTGTTTGTCACAATTTTATTTCTTCGATGATTTAACCGTATTGTGTTTAGATAAAATTTCGTGCATCGCAGGGGTTTAACATCTAGTGTATATATATATATATATATATATATAGAGAGAGAGAGAGAGAGAGAGAGAGAGAGGGTTCGTGTTTCCTATTAAGTTTTGCAATTATGTGGGAATTGAATGACAGCCTAGTGGTTAGAGTGTTATTTTTCTTGGTAATAGACCAGGGTTTGATTCCCACCAGGGGTATGTAAGGAGGTATTTTTACCCACATTTAAGTGGGGTCCACTGGGGTGAATTTTTTTTAAAGAAAAAAAAGTTTTGCAATCATATTCGTTTTGGTTTTATGATGATACTGTAATTTCTACCCTCAAGCTAATAAGGATTCCTCTTTTTTACCGTTTTACATGTGCGATAAAAAAAATTTAAAAAAAAAATTTCTTAAATTCCTTCTTTTTTATTTCCTACTTTATCCATGCATGCCCGAATGAAGATTCGGCCCAGAATATTTTCAAAATCGGGATTTCACACAGGATCATTTTAGCGTCTCAGGATCGGATCGGATTTTGGATCGGTGGGATCGGACCGGTAGGATCGTAACTATTTAAAATATTATAATAATTCTGAAATTGAGAATTTCAATTTATTAGTTCAATTCTTGTTTGATTTTATGGAGGAGAAGTAGACTAGTGTCCGCATAAGTATCACCAACTCAAAATTTCAACTTTTATATTTTTTCTAATCATTTTTCCCTCTTTTTATACGAAATCAACAATATGTACAAGTATCGAAAAAATCAATGAGATCAATCCTACGATCCGGATTGAAATTTTGAAGGATTTCATAAGATCCCACTGCAAAGAAGGATTTTATGAAATCCAATATCGATTTCCTAATTCTGGATCGCTGGATCGTAAGATCCCTAAGATCTGGATCGAGATTTTGAAAACTACCCGAAAAAGGTATCCGCTTCTTGTGCGTGATCTGGATGATTGATGGACGAAGAGTCTCAACTACCGATGGATGATGACGATGATTATGGTGATTAGTTTGCGTGTGTGAAATCTGTCGATGAAAAAATGATGTATTCTGATGATGGTTCTTGAAGATATACTTCTCTAATTAGAAAATTTTGGGTGTTTGTTATGAGAATTTGGATTTTATTACTAATGACCTTCATAGAACAATCTAATTATAAAACTAGCGTAGAACAATCTAAGTCTTCAAGTTTTTTTTCTTCTTTTTTTTTTTAAAAAAAAAAAATCTATCTTGGGAGGTAATGGTTACTGGCTTAATTCCAAGGTGAAACTGTGTTTGAAAGATTCATCAAAATGAAACGCGAGCTACATAGAAATTTGATTATACTTGTGTCGGGTGATGTAGTGAAACTTTTTTTTTTCCCTCTCAAAATAATAATCTTAGTTATTGTGAATAAATTTAGTTTGACATACGTTAGCATGGTTTAATAATTAAAATTTCAATTTTCGTAGCGTATAGCAGCGTGATTCAGTGAGAGGCCAAGAAATCCATATCACTATAGATTCGAACGTATATAGTGAAAGGCCAGGAAGTTCATAGCAAATTTGAATTAATTTTATTATTCATTTGTATTTTAAAATTAAGATACGAGCTGAGGGAGTATTAATTAAAAAACGCGGAAAGAGTCATAATGTGGAACAAAGCACAAAGCTTATTAGTTCCTGTTCGAAAATCATGTCATAATTCAGACACGAGATGAAACATTTACGCACAATGATCGATTAAGGATACATATTAAATTAAGGTTTGCATTTGAAGTCATCAAATTTGGTCTTGCAATGAACAATTGCACTGCCAAGAGCACAATGTTCGATCAAGAACCCAACTAAAATTTTACCAAAAAAAAAAAAAAAACAAAAGAAGAACCCAACTAAAGCAAGGTTTGGATTTGGGAGGGGAAAAAAAAAGGCGAACTACATTTAACTCCTGAGTTTAAGTCCAATCTATCACAAACCTCCGAATTTTAGTAATACTACTATATACTCCAAATTCATAGTCAACTTATCAAATTCCCCCTTAACATCCTAATATCATCATTAATTTTGTATAAACGGTCAAAAATACCCTTCAATCCATATTTTTTAAATTATACAATTTAAAGGTTTTTTAAATAGATCATAAATTAAGTTCAAAAAAATACTCTGTATTAATTCTTTTTTATTACTGCATTTAAATAATAATTTTTTTGAAATTAACTATATCATGTCTTTCACAAAAAAATTTAAATCAATTTTTTTTATCAAAAAAAATTAATTAACTATATTTCTAATCATTGATCAATTTTTATTTATTAAATTATGTTATAATTAAATGTGAAAATAAAAAATCTAGCAATTTTCATTTTTAATGGTCAAAATTTTGGTTTTAGAAAAGAAATGAAGTTTATATAAACCATGGTCATTTTAGTCATTTTGATATGTAAACATACTCATGGGTATATGACAGTATTACCAAACTCAAAGAGTATATAGCAGATCGTGCCAAAACTCGAGGAGTAAAATATAATTCACCCAAAAAAAAAGGTATCTATCTATAGTTATATATAATAGAGAAATCAGAGAGGTATCTATCTCTCCTAGAGTACCACATAGGAAAAAATTATATGTGGCATTATTCTATTAACCTAAAAATAAATAACTTTGTGTAATATCAAACAAAGTCCTCATAATTATACATGATTAAGAAATTGGCCCAGTATAATTAATTTTGCTTTCACAATTTATAATTGGTAATTTTTTTAAAATAATACATTACAATAACAATTAACAATATATATTTATTGACTAAAACAATTATCCTACATTTCGATCTTTGTACTCACCTTCAATATTTTGATTCTAGGAGTAAATATATAATTTATTTATGTATTGTATTTTACTTTATTCAAAATCTTAATAATTAATATATACACCTTGCACAATCTTAATAATTAATATATATAAGTGCGGATTTAACATTTAGTAAAGTTGATAGCAATTTCCTAGCCTAGAGTTAAGAGCTCAGCGCCTCTATAAAACAAAGTTTTTTTGAAATATTTTTTTTCGATTTGGTAACAGCTTAAAGATTGGGTTTTCGTATAAAATAAATGGTAAAAGGACATTAGTTATATTCAATGTAATAGTTGATGTCAAGAAGGAAACAAATCACAGTGGCTGTGGCAGAAGTCAAAGTTGAATATTTTTCTCCATCACAACCACCGCCTTTAAATTATTAATTTTCCTCCACCACAATTACAGTGGTTGTGGTAGATGTCAAAGTTGAATATCTATAGTATATATTATACTAAGAGAGAAACCAGAGAGAGAAAACAAAAAAAAATTCTAAAGGTGTCACGTAGGATAAAATCCTATGTGTCATTTTTCTATTGGTTGAGTCAAAAAATATTTACAACAATTATACTAATAGTCCTTCAAATTTTATGTAAATAAAGTTTTATCAAATGGCATTTAAAACTATAGTTTAAAATAAGAAAATAAAAATTAATTAAATTTAATGGACGGGATTAATGAACATTAATGCACCAGAATTATTCCCTCCCAAAAATAATCCCCAATTAGTATTAATTGATTGATTTAAATTATAAGTTCAAAGGGATAAGGCATTTATTATTTTCAACATTAATTCACCGGGATTTTTTACCCCAGCCAATTCGAATAAAAAAAAAATCCCTCTACAAAATAATCCCTAAAATCACTACTTGATTGATTTAAAACCTAAGTTCAACGTGCGGGAAAGTGGGAATTCTTTAGTGATTAAAAATTAATCAAATTTAATTGAAAAAGACTAATCAACATTAATGCAATGGAAGTCATTTCCCAACCAATCTTATCCCTTAATCAACGTGACGTTATCATCTTTATTTCATAGTTATGAATTTTACTTTAGTTACTGGTTATGATATCTCATTCAGACATTCAGTATAAATATCCACTTCGATCTAACTCTAACATGTACAATGACAACCGGTGAAACACTGAACCGAAGCATCTTATATACTTTACAAAACATCTTTGGGGCGACGACCTCACTCCGATCATGTTTTATTTAACATGTAAGGTGTCTCTTTCTCCAATTGTGTGCAATCTTGATTAACATGCGTTTTTAACTGTGTAGACATAAATTGCTTTGATTTATATGACATGTAACATCTGATTTATTATTTTGGTGGTCTTTTTTACCTTTATTTGTACATAATCCTTATACATATTTCATTATTTAATTACATTTTTGGCATACAATTTATAAAATATTGTCATTTCAAAGTATGTACAATAATTTTATTTATCACGATCTAATTTAATTTTAATCATATATTTATTATTACAAACCAGTTACTTTATTTGTATTAATCACATTTAAAATTTAAAAATATATTTTAAGAGATGTATATGTATAAACCCCGCACATCGTGCGGGTTTAACATCTAGTACTGTAGTATTACAAAATAGGGACAGAAGGACACCTATACCGAAGCAAAAATCTCTGATAAAAAAAGAAAAAAAGGAAGCAAAACCAAAAACTCTCACAGAACACAGAAAGAAGAAAATGAAGAAAGGTGATAAAGTTCATGTAGTTTTGGTGCCATGGTCACTGGTCAGCATTTGGCCATTTGATGCCATTTTTCCAGCTCACAATTGCTTTGGCCAACTCAGGAGTTCATGTTTCACTTGTTTCCACTCCAAGAAAACATCCAAAAGACTCCCCACAATTCCTCCTGAGATCCAAACTTCATTTGATTTGGTTGCAATTCCATTACCAACCATGGATTCTAATCTATTACCTGATGGTGCTGAAGCTACCATAGACATCCCATTTGAAAAAATCCAGTACTTAAACGTAGCAACTGATCTCCTGAAAAATCCCTTTAAAAATTTCATAGCAGACAAGTCACCTGATTGGATCATTTCGGATATAAGGACTTGTTGGGCAGCTGAAACAGGTCTGGAAAAATGAATGTTCCTGTCATTGCCTTTTATGTTTTCTCAGCTGCCACGGCAGTGTATTTCGGCCGGCCGGAATATTTAACCGGCGAAGGCCAGAAAGCTGCTCGGCCATCTGTAGAAAGCCTAATGACAAAGCCTCCGTGGGTGAAATTCGAGTCGAAAGTTGCTTATAGAAAGCATGAAGCTGCGAGAGTTCACCGTGGATTTTATAGTGCAGATGTTTCAGGTTTGTCCACTGCACAACGGATAGCAAAAGTTGTGCAAGCAAGTAAAGCTGTAGCCATAAGATCATGCCTGGAATTTGAACCCGAATACTTTAGACTGCAAGAAAGGATCTCTGGAAAGCCTGCAATTTCTGTAGGTTTTCTTCCACCTGGAATAGGAAAACCAACCTTAGCAAACACCTCTGATTTTCAGGATGATGCTTGGAACAACATTTTTGAATGGCTTGATCAACAGAAGCCAAGATCAGTGGTATTTGTTGGGTTCAGAAGCGAATGCAAACTCAGAAAGGATCAAGTCCATGAGATAGCTTTTGGATTGGAGCTCTCAGAAGTGACATTCTTATGTACTGCAGAAACCAAGTTGGGCGAATACAGATGATCCTAGTGATACTGATGCTCTTCCTTCAGATTTCAGATCCAGGGTTGCCGGGAAAGGGGTGGTTAAAATAGGATGGGCACCACAAAGGGAGATTTTAGGCCATCCTTCGATTGGGGGTTGTTTGTTTCATGCAGGGTGGGGTTCTGTGATTCAGTGATTGAATTGCAGTATGGTCATAGCCTTGTTGTGTTACCCTTTATCGTTGATCAGGGACTAACTCGCGTTATCTGGTTGAGAAGGGCTTAGCCGTTGAAGTCGACAGAAATGAAGATGGATCCTTTACCAAAGTCGCAATAGCTGACTCATTGAGAAGAGCTATGGCTATTGAAGGTGGTGGGGAGGCAGCCGCGTTAAGAGCTCGTGCTGGTGACGCTGCTGCAATTTTTGGAGATGAAAAACTTAACGACGGATGCATTGAAGCCTTTGTGAGGTACATGAAGATGAATGGTACGAGGAAAGAATGTCATTTGACAAGATAGTGTCATCTATGCAGTAAGCAAAACATTTGTACTGTTACAATTCATGGTCTAGTAAATTTATCATTGCAGGAATGAGATTTACGCACTTCCAAATTAGCCACTTATCATAAGATACCATAACACAACACAAATTTAACTTGAGAACTAATACATTGGAAGTAATGGCCGCAATTCATAAATCTGGGAGAAAATTGACATAAAAATATGTTAGCTACATTTCTTGAAACCATATTTAACAATCCAGCAACAAAATTTTAATAAAGTGCACGAGATGCAGCCTGATTGCAACAGCTTAATGCAATATGTAACAGGGGAAAAGAAAGATCTGATATGAACCAAAGATCGATAATATTGCGGAAAACGGCTTCTTGCATCAATCACATAAGTTGGAAGGGTGAATTTTCTTCCTGTCAAGATCAAAACAAGCAACATTTTCCACTAATGCACATCGTACTCATAGAGTTCAAGCTCAAGGGTTACATCAAATGTCATTCCCAACTACACAAGTTTGTCAAAATCATGCAACCACAGTAAAAGGTGGCATCTCTAACCTCACTGCTAAGTTTTCTCAGTAAAACTAATCTGTTATTAGTTAGTTCTCAGGATAGCTGCTGATTGTCGCGCCGTATCTCTTAATTATCTGAACAGACTGAAGAAGGATATCCTGTTGTGCAGAGAAGAGCTGCTCTTTGCCCTAGAATTCAAGACAATAACATTAATTTTCTCCAAGGAAAAGACTAAATGGTGTAAACATCATTTGCCATTGCAAAAGTCAGCAACCAATGAAGGACTAAGAAAAGATGACATACCATATTTTTCATGTTACACCCGATATTCAATTCTGCATATGATCCCACTCTAGATAAGTAACAATATGGGGCCTCCTTATCCAAAAAGACATTTGGATTTGATCTCAGCATTGCCTTTATGTCATCTGCGATCTTGGGAATCACTTTTAAGTCCTCATTTTGGAGAGGGATTTTGGTATCGAAAGCTCGCCATTTAGCACGAGATTTATTCACAATTACCTACAAAATTGAAAGTGTTGCAATAATTTGAAACTCACATAAGATGTTGAAATTGCTGCTTGGAACTAGCAAAAAATGGTTAATATTTTAACCCAAAAATAAAATTTAAAATGGATAATACGAGAACACCTCCAGCCTCTATCAATATACATCGCAGAGCCAAGAATCAACACAGACAGTTAAGACGGACCAGGAGCATCAAGATACATGTAATAACGCATATGATCACTTCACATATAAAAATACTCAACAAATAACTAATATCATAGTAGGACCGGACCTAATGGCAGCCAAACTTCCAACCATGCTCACTACAAGCTCAAATTTTACATGGAGAAAACTTTCTCAGCTAAGCATAGCAGAGGATATACACAAAGAGAGTTATATAGCACAGCGAGCTAAATACATTTTATTATTACAAGCACCATTGCTTCAGATGTGAAAATGAAATCGTTATTAGTTTAAAGGAGAATGAACTCAACCTTTTTACAGAACCATGGTAAATTCCTTTTAAGATAATTCTTCCATTTGAACAAGATCAAGGGATAGATAAATGTGTACATTTCACATAAAAAATTCATAAATTTCAGGAACTGAGTTTCATTGGATGGCAGCAACGAGAAGTCCAGATTTCAAAATAAACATATCAAGACTAGCGGCGCAAGGTATAGGGCACTGATGTTTTGCGAAAGAAACACGATTCCAGGACCAAAACAATGTTAGAAAAACATGCACGCGAAATTCTACATACAATGAGTAAAGAGAACCACCACACCGAAGAAGGGACAAATGTGGCACATCATTTTGGCTTTGAAACTGAAAGACTCGATACACACCTGGCCGTAAATCACAGAATTAGGCACTATAACTGGAAACTTCTCCGTAGACAGTAAGGTTGTAGTAGTAAGTCCCATTTCCATGACTTGACCTTCCACAGATCCAGCCTGCAAGGGGTGGCAGAAGACAATCTTATGAACAAGCAACCGAAAAGAAACAAGTCAAATTTTAGATACATAGTTTATGTGACACAACTAGTCATCAACCAGAAATAATATTTAGGTTTTGTGGAACCATGAGACACACAAGAAAGTCATCCTGCAAGCACCCATTTTAATACCCTCGACATCAAATCGCCTTAGCTTCGCCAGTAATGCCTTTCAAACATGTAATACAGTTTCCAACATAAGCAAATCCTAATGATGTACATGATTACTGAGACCTCAGCTAGAATAAAGAGTGTATTTAATTTCTTAACCTTAATCTTCATCTAACTATAAAGCTACAGAAACCAAACAACATTCGCTGTGCCTATGACCAGGTCGGTTTGATGCAATTTCTGCACAAAACATAAGTACATAACAACTGATCCAATTAACTGTTTACTTTCGTAGAAAAACCTGAATGATGCCTAAGAAGACAGTTGCTTCAGCTGATGTTACATCCTTGCTATACATAGCAAGGTTTGGCGACAAAGATGAATAAAAGCAAACTAAATGATTTTCCCCAAGATACTGTCATAAATCGGTAGAAAAAGAAGTCACATTGGGCTGATTCAGAAATTTGATAACTTATTAACATAAAAAAGTTCACTGCGTATCTCCAACAAAGGCATCAAGATTTCCACAACAATGAATCAGCAAAAAGCAGATAAACAATCGGTAGATCAAGATAGAAAACAAAAAAAGATGAAACACATCCAAATATTTTCAGCTGAATATCCTGATTTGGTAAATACAACTGGAGGAACATAAAAAACGCATTACTAGTGATATGTAAAAACAAACCAGGGATATACAGCAGCAGAGAACAAATGAAATTAACATCTGAGTTTTGAGCTAATCAGAAGTTTGAAGGCTGAAAAGAGACTTGGGTATGTCAAGCATACCCGAATAGTATCTCCAACAGAAAATGGTCGTGAAAAAAATTGCATCCATAACCCGCTTAGAATGTTCCCGAAGATGTCTTTCGTAGCAAAAGCAGCAGCTAATCCTGCAATGTGAAATAGAATCCCATTAACACCAAAGTCCTACTTTCTTGAATTTTGATATAAGTTTGGAAAAGAGTAAAACAATCACAAATATTTCCTGTTATCACTACAGTACTATGCACTTCCAACCTCTTTCACAAATGTACAAGTTTCAGTCAAAATCTCACTGGTTTTCGAAGATAGTAAAACCTTTTCTCTTTATCCAACTTTGAAGAAACATATATTATGACTCAAAAAGGATACCCATTTTCACAATACAAAAAAAGGAACCAAAATCAACTGAGGCAACAATGGCCACATGTAGTCCTTGCAACCTAACTCTGTGTATAACTAATGTGCACCCCACCATGAACCCAGAAACATAATGGATCTGCGTTCACCTCATTTCATTACAAACAAAATTCATAGTCATAATTGAGTGTTTCACGATCCCATCTCCACTGTATAGATTCCCAACACAAAACCAAAACACAAACAAAGCTACAACAGCTTAAAAAAAAATTCTACCATCTAAAGATGGCAATTACAGTAATGCAGACAGTCCTAATTGATACATAGGAGTTTAAAGCAGCAAAAGGTAAGCAAATGAAAAGGTGCAAGAGAAGTCTGGTTAAAACAAACCTCCCACGCCTCCTATTGTGAGAATAGAGCGTGGAGCCACCCCCCAAGCCTCAGCAAGTGCCATGAATCCAAATACAACTAGCAAAACAGATGACCCTCTGTCCAACATCAACTTTGTTTCCTGATCAAGTCCACTCTTAGCAATCACATTGGTCTTCCATCGATGGACAAACAACACAATTGAAATAATCACAGCACTTTTCCAAGCTGGTCCAATGTACTGAGTCCAATCACTTCCACCCAAACCACCACTATCACCACCACCACTACCACTACCACTACCACCACCACCACTACCACCGGCATTATCACCACCAGAACTAGCAGAGGCAACTCTCGGATTAGCCTCATGGCTAGTAACTCCAGATGAATATGACCTACCATAATTCATCCTTGGAGCAATTCCACTGAACGGAATACTTCCTTTTAAGCTCGAATTCGACAGATTAAACCCAGTTACGCCTGCTCTCTTCATTCCTCTGTCATAACAATTATCCAAACTCACTATCCCAAATCTATTACTAATCCAGCTTGACTTAACACTTTGAAATTCTTCACTGCAATAATTTCGAGTAATAAAAGCAGATGAGGGTCTGATCCCAATTACGCCTGCACTCTTCATTCCCCTACCATAACTATTATCCAAACTCTCTATCCCAAACCTACTACTAAACCAACTTGACTTAAAACTCCCAGATTCTTCACGGTGGTAATTTCGAGCAATAAAACCAGATGAGGGCCTGATCTCAACTGGGTTCAGGAATTTCCCAAGAGAACCAAGTGATCTCAAACGTGAAAACCTTACAGCAGCCATAATCTTCTACTCCTATTATTTTCTTCTTGTGTCTACAATGCCACCAAAATCAGAACAGTCATAAACAAGCACTAGTCCAACTAAAACATCATCATCTAGTATTTCAATTTTCAATTTAAAAATTTCCCAATTGGAGGTAAAGCATCATATATTATATCACTACAAATCATCAACTGCATAAACTACAAATTAACCAAGTAAACCCAAATTTCAACTTAATCTTTGAACGAAACTACGCGGGTAATTAAAGTGATGGAAACGATGAAACTTTAAAACAGAGAAATTCAATTAGGTCTATTTACTCATAATTCACGATTGCATACTCACGGAAAGCAAACTGAGAGAAGAAAAATGACAAGTATGGGGAAAGGGTTAAGAATACAAGCAAGTCTAGGACATTCTAAAGCAAAAATAACCTGTAGTTACCAGCTGGAATCAGATCAGTCAGCAGCTGAATTATCAGAAACAATCTATCACGTCTGAGAAGAAGAGGAAGATTAAAGGGGCAGTTCTTGTGCTCTTTTTTAATTTTCAATAATTTTTTTTTTCCTTATACTACTATTAGAATATGGGTTTCTTGATTGGCAAGATGGGACCCGAACCGAACATATCTTTTGTAAGAAAAGGAAAATAAAATTAGAAAATGAAGAATAGTTTCGTGTTTCGTCCATTATCTTTGAAATTCGATACGAAAAAAACTATCGATAGTAATGATCAAATGTACAAATTTTAAATACTTAAAAAAGATTTCCTGCTGAAGTTAGAAAATGTATCACTAGTATTTAATATTCTGAGAAACAGAAAACTTTAAACTATGAATTTCGTACAGATTTTGTTAATTGTGATTTTTTTTTAACTTAGCAATTGATAAATAAATTTTGAATTTGAAACGACCCATTAACAATGCATTGATTTATTATTTCAAAAAGAAAAGCCGAATAATTTTTATTTAAATCGAATTTCTTACAACTTCTATTACATTCCTTTAAAACTAACGTCCTTCTATTGATACAACCATCTTTCCTCCGCTTTTCATCAAGCTAAAAGTAGTGGAATGATTATTGTTTTCATCAATACAACAACATTACAAAAATATTAATGCATAGCAGAGTGTATATGATTCATTCTAGTAAATTATATATAAAAAAAAATGGATGAAAGCATATGTCTTGTAACATAACACAAAACCCTTATTTTCTCGCAAGATGCATGGTACAAATATTTGCTTTGCCGAAGTGCTGCCAAAGATACAATGAAATATCTGTTGGGACAAAAAGAATCCCACATCGGTGTCGTGAAGGATCTGTCACCTGTTTATAAGTGTCAAAGGCCACCCCACTCATTGCCAATTGGTTTTGAGATGGGAGCCCAATGTGACTTTGACATGGTATCAGAGCCCACGATCTGTGGACCTGTGATACCTATGGACCCGCATATGCGGGCTTGGACCCGTGTGTTGTGGACTTGCGTCAATCGCTTCCGTGCGCACGGGTGGGCTTGTGTACTGACCCGGCAGTATATCCGGAGTTGTGGACTGACCCAACAGTATATCTGGTGAATTATGTTGTGTTGTGCAACCCTAATGGGTCAAATACCCCATTGGGCTCCGTGCGCACGGGTGGGCTTGTGTACTGACCCGGCAGTATATCCGGAGTTGTGGACTGACCCAACAGTATATCTGGTGAATTATGTTCTGTTGTGCAACCCCAATGGGCCAAATACCCCATTGGGCTTGAGGGAGGGTGTTGGAACAAAAAGAATCCCACATCGGTGTCGTGAAGGATCTGTCACCTGTTCATAAGTGCCAAAGGCCACCCCACTCATTACCAATTGGTTTTGAGATGGAAGCCCAAGGTGATTTTGACAATATCTTTCATTACAATTAATCAAATCTAATACTTTCTCCATCTAAAAATAAAACTTATTAGAATCAATTGGTTTTGAAATGGGAGCCCAAGGTGACTTTCACAATATCTTCCATTACAATTAATCAAATCCAATACTTTCTCCATCTAAAAATAAAACTTATTAGAAATCAATGAACAGACGCGGGATAGAATCAAACACACAAAAAAATAGAAGTGAAGCAGAAAAAATCAAACACATAGAAGTGAAGCAGAAAAATTATTTGAAAAGAAAAAATAAACCCACATCCATTTTTTTTACTTGGATGTGATCGATCATTTGGCTTCAGTTGAGGTGAAAAAAATCAGTAGCTGCGAGTGAAAGGAACTCGTGGGGAAGCAAAGCCAATTCATCTTCTAAAATGGAAATCCATGCTTCAACCTCTTCCTCATTGCCGTTGCTTGTTAAAGTGACCCCTCTCATGGCCGGCATAACAGCCGGGCCGACGGAAACAGGTTTGCCCCAACCGAAATCAACTTCATACAAGGACGATCTACAGCAACTAGTTACAAACCAATTATATATACACCATCAAGTCCTTCACCTTTTCTTCTTCTTCTTCTATTATTCCATTCAGTCTTAAGCTCTCAAGGAATGGAACCGCCGAATTGGTAACATAATCGTCCTTGACATCCTTATAACATTACTAACTAGCCCTACTAGATGTCCAAAAGTTGTTATGTCGTCCTCGTCTTCATCATCGGGGGCGAAGGTAGCCGGGGCGATAACTATATATGAGGTTTCCGAATGCAAATCCATCATCTTTTGATGATGATAACAAGCTACTCAGCCTGCTTCTCAAGTTGGTGACATGACCGATCGTGAACATTGTTTCCCTACAATGTTTATGATCCGCATCGGGGCGCTAAACCCGATGATCGGTTTCTTTTAGCTTTTGCCACATTGATAAAATGCTTTCATAGAAAAGCGGTAACCACTTCCACCCGAGTGGGATCTTTAGCTGGTGGTATTAATGATGCCGCCGCCGCCGCCTGTTGTTTTAATGCGGTCTGCGTTTCCTTGTTGAACACGAACGCTTGCGCACGATCTTCCCGTTCACCGGAATTTGAGAGAAATGTAAAAGGAGAAACTCGGGGGAGGGAAAAGATGCCTCCCTAAGTCGAAATTAATAGGGGATGATTGAGTAGGGTTTTCGCCGCGGGTTTCAGCTGCCCATGAATTTATGAATGTTACTGAAATCAGCTACTTTGCGGGAAATGCAGAAACCAATTGCATTGCTTCCGCATTGAAACCAGCTGATTTGTACTGCCAACACTATCTCATTTCTTTGGTAGGTAGCACCTGTTATATATATATGTACTACAAATTTTGGATATATGAATGTGGTAACTAAGAGGGGGGAGAGAGTACGATATGAAAGTGAAAATTATTAATATAAATACAGAAATGTGTCTAATAACAATGATGAAATCAGTACCGAATATTTACAAGATCGAATACACATAAAAAATTATTTTCCAAAATATTTTAAAATTTTTAATGTATTATTTTTGAAAAAATTTTCCGACCGCAGGGTCAGCCGACCCCTTGCACCCCCTGGTTGCATCCCTGCCTAATAATTTTTCTAGTCTGTTCTTCATATTAGGCTTGGGTTTATAATTAAACATAAAAACTAATGATGTAACTAATTAAATTGGATGGCCCAATATTATTAATTTGGACCAAACAAGTTTATTCACTAACAGTTATATATGAAATTAAAATTTTGGATATATGAATGTGCTTAGTAATCAAGTTAAGAAAAAAAAAAGAGTTTGATACGAAAAAATGGAAATTATTATATTAGTTTAAATACATAAATCAAATGTACCTAATAATTTGCAATGTCGATCAACACCTCCCTTATCATCAAAAGCCACAAATGGCAAGAACTGAGAAAAATATTCGTAAGGAGCATTGTTGAGCGCTTGCGAGAGGGTAGCGTTGACCTTAGCTTCCGCGAACAAAGCTCCAGAATCATCACAGTCAACGGCGAATCGATCCGGGTTTAGCTTTCCAGCTAACGGGTAGAATTGACTCAAGCACTTGGATAAAGACTGCTTCAAATGAAGGGATGTTTCTGATGATGAAAAGGAGGAATCAGGCGAGTTTTTTGTTTTTTGTTCATAGAAGAGGATGAAAGCAAATGGAGAGACCTGATCCAGGAAGGACAGTTTATGCTGTTTACGGTGTTGGGGTGTTGGAGATGACGGTTTTATCCAATCCCTCGAGATTATATCGATCTTTGCTTCCATCTATAAGATTGTTCGAATCAAGAAACAAAGAAACGGAGGTAAGTTAATGTTCTTGTTATGGTTTAGCTGAGGTGAGGAAAGAAAACTATAAGGATGGCTGACTTTTATTTTGTCTCATTCCCTCTGACGAGGGATTTTCTTAATACAATAACAATAATGACCTTCAATCAAAATTAAACAATCATTTTCAGAATAAAAAAATGCGTAATAAATTTAGAAAGTCAAGGAGATATTGAACGGAAAAGAAAAAGTACGTGATATCTACACTACAATAATTTTCTACTTTCAGAAATTCACTCGTACGTTTATTTTCTTTCTTTTTTTAAAATACGTGAATATTTACTGAGGCAAAATATGTCGTCGTTAAAGCAACTATATAAACAAGTAGAGTACAGCAAGCTGGAACATGGCAAATTGTTCATTAATCATCAAAATTAAGGGGGAAAAAAATTTAAATGCTACATGCTAAGTGCTAAACCCTTACTTCTCGAGAGTGATGAACGGCTCAATTAGGCCAGCCAGTGAGGATCTATTTTCAGGATTCATCAGATTAATACTCAAGATTTGCCGAACCTGATATTTAGGTTGTACTAAAAAGTTGGCAATGTAGCTAAAGAGTCGCGGTGGAATGAATTAATAGGGCAATGGTTACCAACTTACCATACTCGTCCTAAACCCTTGAGATGTCGAGTTTAACTTTAATTTTCACCGGCAACTCCCCTCGTCTCGGACCAAGTAGGTGGTTGGATGAACCAAGCTAGTCAGGCAAGCAACACCAAAAGCTCGAACAAGAAGTACGTACATGAAATCGCCCTATAACTTTTTTGTTTTATAATAATTTAAATATTCCATGAAAATGCGATTAAAAGAAAATGGTAACATGTGTTTCTCGGAGTGCATATTGGCACTTCACTGGTCATGCCAAATTAAAAAAGTCCCATATATTACAGAGTCGTCCGCTCAAACTATTTATTGAATTAACATAATATAATAATAGAACGGAATATTAAAACGAGATGAAAGACTAATATATTTATTAAGAATTACTCCCTGACATAAATATATGTAAAAGAAATGTTTCACCTCACATGAGGGAGAGCAAGTTACATTTCTTGGTAATAAAAGACATGTCAGGTATAAAAGTATCAATAGGAATACAATACACTGAAATGTTAAAAAAAAAGAAAGAAAAAAAAAAAAAGAACTCCCCATCTCCTCCTTGCAGTTCTTGAACAAAATATTTTTTTGCAAAATTATCGAAGTAATTCAAACGAAAAACAAGTCCCTTCATTCTACAGTTAATATTTTTGTTTCCAAATTAATTCCGTTAGTATGATACTCTCATCAAGGAAATGATTGTCAAAATTGAACTTTCTTTTAATATACTTATTGTTCCAAAATGATAGTAAGGTTTAGATTTTTATTTTTAGTATAACTGAGACAAAGAATATCTTTTTCTTATGCTATTCATTTGAGGCATCTTTTTTCTCTTTTTCAAATTGAGTGGATTATTTATTGGAAAGTATAATGAATATATTAAACTCACTTTTGAGAGTATAAACTCCCCCAAAATATTGTAGCTTTGTTTTGTAGCTTCATTTTGGATATTAGTTCCTATAAATTAATATTAACCCCTATTTTTAAAATCACATTTATAAATCTTCAAGAGAAATAACATAGTGGGAAAACTACATTTTACTCCCGAGTTTAGCCCACTTCACTGTATATCGTAATTCGCAAGGATTTATAATACTACCAACAGTAACACCTTCTTGACCTATGGTCAACTTACAAAACATACTCTGGTGATCGAAAAGTGTTGTGATTACAATGGCGTTGTTAAAAAAATTATGTAAACTAACATTAACGCCCTTCCTAATTATAATGCACTCTTGAGGGAGGTATTGGTAGTATTATGAAAACTTGAGGGGAAAATGTGAAATAGCTAATGTAGTTTATCCTAAACCACTAATTACCACCTCCAGTGTTAATTATAGTCTAACGTCTGTAAGTCAATACTGTCGGGACCCAAAAAATTATTAATTTATAAATGTATTGATTTATCGATAAATTAATAATTACTCCATCCATTACAAAATAAGTGTCATCCTACACTTTACACATAGTTTAAGAAACTCTTAAATAGGGTAATAAATTACTTGAATATCCTCAATCAACCTCATTAAAAAAATATCCACCAATAGTATTAATTCTTTTAAAGGTAATTTTGAAAACTTTGAATAAAAAGTGCATTGAAATGTGAGAATGACACTTATTTTAAAATTTCTCCATTTTGCTAAAACAACACTTAATTTAGAACGGAGGGAGTATTAGTTTATCGATAATAAAATCTTTGGAGACATTGTAGCTAGTGTCACTAACTGTTTGTTTCAGTTTTCACTAAGATTTTTTAGAAATTTTTATTAGTAAATGTCTCATCCCAACTACTTTTTTACATTCTCAATAAAAACAAGACCTAAAAACACACACTAAAAAAAATCCGAACATAGCTTAAAATTTTGACTTAGGATGAAAATGATGAAAATTCAGTATTTTCGAAACCAATCACACAAAAATAAACACTTAATACGGTAATAACTCTTTAAAATATGAAAATTCTACACAAGAGCTTTGAAAGTAATTAAAAAAAATTAAAGGAACTCTTTAGATCTAAATTACAAGAAAATACATATATTTCTAGATTCATATTTTATTATTTCTTAAATATGTATAAAAGTCATTATTTATTTATGATATTGGCAGGACTTATATTTACATAATGTTTTCTGAAAAATTATTACTTCATTATTTTATCAATTGACAACGTCTTTTGTACTGGTTCCGGCTTGGGTCCGGAGAACATGATTATTTTATAGATGTTATTAATTTATCAATTATTAATTAATTTATAAATTCTCTATCATATAAGTAAAAAAATTAACACTAAAATTAGTTCAAATTTGTGATTTATAAGAAGGAGTACTCAATTTCAGGCACCCATACGATTATTTCTTGACACAAGTCATGATTAGTGTAAGTATTTGAATCGTACATTTGATCAAGTTCAGTTAAAATTTGAAACAACTTTCATAAAGATCAAACAAATTAATCTTACAAAAACACATTCAGATTTTTCAATTATTAATTATACTTATCTACTTAACACGCAGGCCGCAGCAGACGTTCAAATTCTTATGCAGCAGTGTTAAAAATTTTCTGATTGACCAAAACCCTCAACTTTTTTTTTTTTTTTGGGTAAAGATCCCAATAAATAAGTTACTATTTGAATCGCCATGAATTTGATCATTTACTGGGAATTAAGATGTGTTTGGAGTTTTCCTTGTAATCATTGAGTTGGTCATGAAGATAAAATTTGAAGTGTCGCATACTTTCATTTTCAATAGTAACATCTTATCATCATTGTCTAGCCAATACATGATGCTGACACATTTATGCATGGTGGTAAGGTATTAATACCTCTGATTTAATCTATAGATAGAAATTGTGAATTGAGACGATGCGAAGCTATTCTTGAGAGAAACAAATAATTTCTAAACAAAGCGGAAAGTTTAAAATATAATTATGAATCCAACTATACATAGAATTGTTGTATCTGGTCTCAAATTTCCATTGAAACTCATCGTCTCCTTAAGACGCTTCAGTAAACAAATTCATTTAACTAATTGACTTATTATAAGATTATTATGTACTTCGAATTTCTACCCAAAAGAATAATCAACTACAATATGTGAATTTTCCTCTTTCCCTTTTTTTAAAAAAGAAAATCCATTTATATCTACTTTTATGGTACTTAAATTATTGTACATTATTTTCCATATTACATTTCCCATCGGAAACATTTAGATATATATATATATATATATATTATAAGATAGTATTAAGTATAACCACTGCTGTACTGGTTACCGGTTTTTCCCTTTTAAATTAAACAATCAGCCAATGTAGCAAATCCATTATGATATTATATCATTCAGTGACCCGCTTACTATATTTTGTAAATTCAAATAATTTATAGTCTCCAATTACTAAATAAAAGTACGGTGCCAACTACCAAGTTACCAACCATTTCAAATCTACTCATTAAATAATACATCCCCTCAAAAAATAGGAATTTAAAAAATGTTGGTTAACTAATAAATTACTATAATTTCTGCCATTTGTCAAATGAGCATATATAAATATTTAGAGAGAAAAAAGCCCAAGATTTTTAAAACTTTCTTGGAGTGTTCATCTCTCCCCGTCTTCCTCTGACCTCATCATTCAATCTATGTGAGTTAGGAAGAACATTGAATGACCATTCTTTGAACCATTTTCATCACATTCAGAGAAAACACACACACACGCACACACAGAAAGCTTTATTTTGGCCTCAAATTTATCAAATTAAATGGTTCTTTTTGCCAAACAAAAATCAGATTCTTGTTCTATCATCGTCATCCGTTTTTCTGTCATCAAACTCAAAGCCTCCAAATCAATTGAAACAAAAAAACCATGAAAGATGTAGAAAAACCCACCTCTAATCCTTCTCCAACCAATATAATTTTGCTTTACAACATCATGACATTGAAAAATACTAGTTGTTCATTTCTTGGTGTGACAACAAAGCTCATGCTATACTTGATTTTCTTCTCCTTCATCTTCTACCTCATTTACTCCCTAAAATTATTCTACCCTTTAGTCCTCCTCCATGACACAAATAATTACTCGTCATCATCACCGTTTTTCGGTCGAAAACTCGAGTCGAATTCGGCCAACTCATCGGAAACCGTCGCTAAAAGCGGCAGTAGCGGAGGTGGTGAAATAACGGGGCTCCAACACATTGTTTTTGGCATCGCAGCCTCATCCAACATATGGAATCATCGCAAAAACTACATAAAGCTGTGGTGGGAGCCAAAGAAGATGAGAGGGTTTGTTTGGCTAGACAAAATAGTGAAAACTTATAATGACGATCTTGAAACGCTCCCACCATTGATGGTATCAAACGACACCTCAAAATTCCGTTACAAGAACAAGGACGGCGACCGGTCGGCCATCCGGCTCACCCGAATCGTGTCGGAGACATTACGGCTCGGGTTGGAGGATGTGAGGTGGATTGTGATGGGGGATGATGACACATTTTTTGTAGCTGAGAATTTGGTTAGGGTTTTGAAGAAGTATGATCACAAACAGTTCTATTACATTGGTGCGAATTCCGAGTCACATTTGCAAGATATAAGGTTTTCTTACAACATGGCTTATGGAGGTGGTGGATTTGCTATTAGTTTTCCATTGGCAAAAGCTCTTGCAAAAATTCAAGATGAATGTATTGAGAGATATCCTGAATTGTATGGATCAGATGACAGAGTTCAAGCTTGTCTTTCTGAACTTGGAGTCCCTGTAACCAAGGAGATTGGATTTCATCAGGTTAGCTTTCAATTTTTATTTGAAAAATTGTTCATCTTCATTACCTTTTTTTTTTAAAAAATCAATTTTGGGATTTTTTTTTTTTTCCAGATTGTTCATCTTCCTCTTTTAATTTGTGTTTGATTTGTTGGAAAACTGTTGATTTTTTTCCTGCTTTTGTTGACTTTTTTTTTTTTTGATGATCTTACGTTTGGCTTCCTTCAATTTTTGTTGGCATTTAATTCATCATTTTAACTGTTTACCACCCAACAATTTATTGTTGCACGTATACATTCATTGCTTTGTGAATTTGGGATTCAATGGTTTCGAGTTATTTAAGAAAGAAAATTAATTGTTTTGATTTTATTTATTTTTTCGTGAGTTCATAGATATTCATTCAGTACATTCTTTTTTTTTTTAGAAACAAACTTGCATTAAGATCACTGGAAATCGTCCAGTACCAATTCTGTACATTCTTAGTATTGAGTTTTTTTGGATACAATGAAAGAAATTTAATGCTCACCGCGTGGTTACATTAAGGAAACTGTTAATTATTCAGAGTATTTGTTACCTTAATTTAAATAAATTTTGAATGCTCATTGATTTGTTATTAAAGATAATCTGGTGTTTGTTTCATTTTGGCGCTAATTTGTGCTTTTTGTACATCATTTGAATTTTTATAGTGTAAATCTAGCTTTCTTTACATATGTTTTATCATTTGAATCGTATCAAGATATACGAAAACCATATTTAAATAGTTTTAGTTTTCATCTGTTTTTGAATTCAAGAAAAGGGTAAAGTTTAAGTCATCAAACGAACAATTGTATATTAGCAATCTTATCTAAATTAGATAAAGAGAGGGATATTTTTGAATCTTGATTAATTTTTTTTAAAAAAATATATCTATCGGTTGAACAAATATATTTGTGATTCTCTGTTATGCCACCAAGGAGGACAAAAAGATTAGGTAATTATCAGTTAATTTGAAGTTGTAGAAGGTCAACCTCTCCCCTTTTCTTGAACCTTGAATGACATATGCATATATTATCAACAATTAGCCGAAATCAATCAAGCTAGGTAGGTTGCCTGCCAAGAATAATGTAGCTTTCCAAATGCTCTTTTTCTTTTTGGATAATTTTCCAAAGTGATTAATTACTACATTTTCCCCCTTTTTTAGAACCAAAAATAAATAAATAAATAAAAACATATAAGTAATAATCAGGCCATATTTCGTATTTGTGGGTCAAAAAGTTTAGTTGAAGCACCATTAATAGGTTAGAATTCATGTCCTTAATTTAGAATAAGTAATGTGCTATTTTTTAGATTAATCATGTTTCGTGTTTACTTGTCATATCATAATTCATAACACTGTAATAGGTCCGTGGTTCATTTTTTGGTGAATTAACATCTTTATTTTCGCACAATGATCCGCAGTTCGACTTGTTTGGCAATGTGTTTGGAATCTTGGCAGCACATCCAGTAACACCATTAGTCTCACTCCACCACCTAGATGTGATAATGTCGATTTTCCCAAATCTCAACCAATTCCAATCATTGCATCTTTTAAAACAGCCCATGGAGCTAGACTCTGCTGCCCTGATGCAGCAATCGATATGTTACGACAAGGCCAGGAACTGGACCATTTCGGTCTCATGGGGTTATGCTGTTCAGATTCTGCGTGGTGTTATCTTGCCCCGCGAAATGGAATTGCCTGTGAGGACATTCACTGATTGGTACAGAAAGGCAGATGAGACTGCATTTGCTTTCAACACTAGGCCATTCCATAAGAACACTTGCCTCAGGCCTTCGGTTTTTACATTGTATAGTGCTGATATGCATGGTTCTTCGAGTAATCAGACAGTTAGCAGATATGGTAAGTATCGAAATCCAGGGTATAAATGCAAATGGAAGATGCCTGATCCTGATCAGATTCGTCAGGTGGAAGTTTACAAGAAGCCTAATCCATTTCTGTGGAATAAGGTAAAACATGTCTTCCCACTATCAAGCTTCTTTTCTTGCCGATGGAAAAAAAACTCAAGGTGAGAATCAGATAACAGTTTTGTATTGACTTCACTCTGCTTTTTTGTTGGACAGTCTCCCAGAAGAAACTGTTGCAGAGTGTTGCATTCAGGAAAACAACATATCCTGCAGGTTGATGTAGACGAATGCAGAGAAGGTGAAATCATTGGCGTTAACTAAGCTAACCATGCTGCTTTTGAAAGTCTAAATGTGACTTATCTGAAAATGGTGCAACTCAAAATCATTCAAATCGCATAAAAAGAGGAAGAAATTTTGGTCATTTCCAGTTGTATTCAAATAATTCTTTCTCCTAGACATCTCCTTGTCCTCAAAGATTACAAGGAAAAAGAAAAAGTTCATAGTGTTTCAGTTGGTATTGTACATTGGGTCAACTTGAATATTTGTTTCTACAGAAGTTTCGATTATGTTAACATCCTAATGTAGTTCTTGCTAGAATTGATACATTTGTCAAGTTCGTCATAACCTGACCATATATTCAAGTGAGATACGGCAATCCTATATTGTTTTCACTTGATAATGAAAGTTCTCTTTTACACTGAGTTTGAAATGGTGAAGGGATGCTTATCGTGTCTTCCAGAGGTAGCCTCCACAGTGATATGACCGACGTTGAATCTTGTTTAGGCCTTGATGCATCTTCATTTTGTTGATTTGCACCACTTCAACCACCAGATTTTTTCTTTGATAACTGTCTACTCGGCTTCAGGATTTGCTTCAGCAAAACCATCTTGGGGACATTCCAGTATTCCACATGCCTGGTAGGCATTATGATATGGAGAAAACTAGATATCAAACTGAGAAAACAAAAAAAAAAAGTGCAAATTGCAAGAAAGCTTTGCTGAGTCTGCATAGAACTAACATACCGGCATACTTTTCCAGATTGTTCATTGAAGTAATATTCAGTGTATCCAGTTGCTGCAACAAAACCAACAGCAAAATATTTCATTTAGTAAGAAATGCTGTTAACTGAAAATATTTTCAAGCAATGGTAATAGTTTGCTGATAACTTTTATGCGCTGAAAGCACAAATAATGAACACATGAATAAAAGATATCTTAAATCTCAGATCGATAGGTTGATACCTGAAAGAATTGGCTTCCAAGGAAATGACAATATGCAGCTAAAGCGCCAATGTCCAATGGATTTTTCCTGCAGTCGCAGTAGACTGTTGATCAGATTGCAAAGACCACAGCATACTCAAAAGTCTCAAACTATTAATCCACTAAAACTGACCTCAAAATCTTCCCACTTCATAAGTTTCATACTGGACCTCTCAAGAAGGGATCCAAAATTAGTGCAGTTCCTCTTGAATCGTCCCAAGCCTCTGAATGAACCAGCTGGATCCGCAAATTCACAGTCTTCTTCGTATGCATCAAGAGTCAGGTTACCTGAGTCCAAAAGAAAAGAAATAATTCTTGGAAATCAAAGGCTCATATCTAGGCTTTGCTATATGATAAAATTCTCTATGCATTTCAATCTGCAAGGTATCTTTCTCTAATGTAGACATCATGTGCTCCCACTCTCTCATGAACCTACCTTTTCCTAAACAATGCCTGACCTGTAAAAAAAATCCGCAAACACAGTCCTAGAGTATCATTTCTAATACATCATATCAGTTGGGCAGGCTTGGACACATTGAGTAGAGCCTATACAAGTATCATAATCTTAACTCAATTTGACATTATAGCTATGCATTTTGCATGTCCCTCTTATGCAATTAGAATAATCTCCAGTCATGAGTAGTATTTAGTCCAGATTCTGTAATTCCTCTCGAAGATGAATTGAAAAAAATGATAGCTGCCAACATGTTGGTCAGTTTGTGGGAATAAAACTGACCATTCTGCTTGTGATGAGTTGAATGAATTGTATTGAAGAACGACAATAGAAAAGTTTATTTTCAAACCTGTAACAAAGTAGGACCTTCCAAAATCATCTTTGATAGTTTCCACAATTTTTTGACGATCAATCACTCCAGAAGCATCAATAACTGGTAGAACTGGTCTTTCTTCTTGCGGGGTTGCAGCAGATTTAGGAGAACGGATGTAAGAGGCAGCAATTCCCAATAGCTCAGAACCATACCATGCCATCTTCAGCAGCAAGTTTTCAGGTTCAGATTCTTGAGAAGCAGAGGTAGAGGAATCATTTGACGATGGGTTCTTCATGTTACATCGCAGTTTGAATGCCCTTTGGCTATCAGTGGACAAAGAGGATGGCTGGAGTTTGATTTGATGGGATGATGAAATGGAAGCAGAAGAGAAAATGGCAGCCATGGTTCTGATCTTTTTTGATTGATTTGAAGAAGATGGTAGCCACTTAATTTGCTAACAGCTTTGATAGTTAAAAGGTTTGTATTCTTGGACCAAGCCCCAGAACAAATGTCAGCCATGAAAATCTTTCCCAAGACCCACCATTTTTTGTCTGTCCAAGTAGCTATAGACAGATTTTATTCTTTTCCTAATTTCTCAAGACCCAAATTTGGCTCTTTATGCAGGGATTTACAAGATATTTCACTTCAGAACTAACCAATCAAAACTTTCACCAAAATCTATATGTAATTCACATGAATCATCCGAGAAAGATACAAAAAACATGAGTTTTCCTTGTAGAAATCAGAGAGGTTATCTGAAAAGGAGAAATAAGTTGTATCTCTGTAATCCCATTCCAACATATGGGATCAGATACGTCATACGATTCTTTACATTTTTCACTTACACCAGTATTAATCTTAGAGCAGTATTTCGAAAGAAGCTTTAGTCACTGATCCTACAACAAAGATTCTCCGGCGGCTCTACTGAAGCTATCCATGTTGCTACCAGTCCGTAGAAGCTACTCAACTGATCGCATTTACACAGGTGTCTGGGTTATGGCCACTTCCAACTTGTGCCTTCAATAATCCTCCGTCCAGGATACAAGTAATCAGTAATGGCATCATTTTCAAACGTGCAACAAAAATGAGAATCAGGGAGCCAATTGAAAGCCTTGACGTCGTATTATCTCTTCATTAATCTCTTCAGATATGCATTAACATATGAGTTCAATTGCACTGGGTAAGATACAGAACTTCGTTGGCAGGAAACCTAAGTATTCTCCATCAGACTGGACATATATGCTATTGCTCGGAACGATCTCCTCAACCTCAATCGATTGTGCACTGAAAGAGAAACCAATTATCTAAAATCATTTCATAATTGATACTTTCAAGTTTGTAATTAAAAGGTTCGTTATCATAAATTCCTAATCTTTCAGATGTACAACAGGCACATATTGCACGACTCCAATCGCACAACATAAGATATTATATCTTCACCAATTACCGGGCTTAGCAGCCGTTTCTAGTGAGCTAGAGGAGACTAATTCCATTGGTAAACAACTTGAAAAGCAAGCCAGCAAGTTACAGAGCAGAAACTGACCTTCGAGCAAAGACATTTTGTACTGATAAGTGTGTCCCTTTGTACAGCTTGTGCAGATTAAGAATGAAATCATACCATTTGAAATCTTGAAGGATAACCACCTGAAGATGAATTCAAAGTGAATTCCTGTGTACCAATTGATTGATATTTTTAAGAAAATGAGGACACTTCACCTCAAATTTCCCACTGGATGGATCTGCATTCGGAGTAATTTTCATTCCACCACCAAAGAACTTTGCATTTCCTATACAAAGAGCTGTAACCTGGGGACATTCTTCCCATTCACATCCATCAACCTGCAACGGCATATTAAATTACTATTGCACACATCAATTGCTTCAAAAGAAAATAAAAAATTTAAAAAGAAAGATATCATATATAATATTTGATGACGAGAAATGTTTAGAAAGGCAAACAGAATACAAGAAAATACTAACAGTATGCAAACCTTAATCCTAAAGTCTCGGTTATGGTGACTGAAAAAGGCTTGCAAAGCACCAATCACATAACATAAATTCCCAAATTTCTTGTATCTCGAGGCATAATAACCGGCCTTTGCACTTCTGCAAAAATTATTCCATTAATAAGTACCATTTCAATTTCACTTTCATAAACTAATTAATCATTAAAATGCCTCACAGATGAATGTCAGCAACATTTATGAAATAATGTGGAGATCCATTTTCTTGATTAATAACTCCAACATCAATCCGGGACCTCAGCCCTGCAAATTCAATTCATTACATCAACTGGTGAGGCAAAAGAAGTTCAAGTTACAAAGCGGACCGCTTAAGAATGTGTGAAGAATAAAGCTTTCGCAGACCAGACTGTGTAATCACAAAACAGAAACAGGTTTTGAAGCAAATGCAATACCCTTGGCAATCCGTTCAATGGCATCATGAGGATCATTTTTCCTGTTTATACAAGCCAGGCATCAATTTCTGGGGAATTAGAAGAATTACAAGTATCTAATTAATAAGATGGAAAGAAGCACTAACTCACCAACCCAACGTTCTAGCAAAATCAGATCCAGTGCCCAAAGGGATGAGCTGTAGAGAACCAAACATATTACTTATACATTTCCAGTCAAAACATAATATTGATCTTATTGTAATCTACAGTACAAAGTCCACAAAACACTAAATGTCGGTATGATGGACTCATAGAATACTTACACCAAGAGCAGTGATATGGCTCAAATTAGAATCATGGCTAGCAACAGGTTTTCCACCCCAGAAGAAGCCATTGACAACCTGCAATAGGAGATTCAAAAAGACTCTTGTTAAAAACAGACTACAACAGAACAAAAATGCAAAGAGTTCGGTTTTCAATATTAATCTTTTAAGTGACTCAAACACCGAAAAACGGACAGCCTAACAGGTGGAACCAGCACCTCATGTAGTGTGCCATCGCCACCAACAGCAACAACTGCATCAGCACCCTCTCGAATAGCCTGCGAGGAATTAACATCACGGCTTTTTATAATGCTCAATGCTGTTGTGTATGGGACATTGGCACGAATATCTCACAAAGCTTACCTCCCTCGTGATGTCAATAGCGTGGCAAGGACCCGACGTCAAAGATTCACAAATCTGCTCAGACATGGGGGGAAAAAAAATTTCAAATAGAATTTCAAACACAAGAAAACCGGCTTCCAAAAACTCATATTAATAGACTCAAGAACACCCACCCACAGCCCCAAAACCAAGAGTCCTAGTATATCTCATTTTCTACAAACAAGACGGACAAGTTTACAACATAATATAAAACGTAGCTTCTGCTGTCACAAATGAATATCAGCAAAAGCTAGAGCATATCACCAGAATCGCAATCAAACCCAATCAGTATCGTTTGACCACAAACTTCAAAAAGATTACTGCCCTTGCTAACTACATAGTATTTAACAAAAATGATCACTTTGATAAAAGATTCAACTTGATATAAAGGAACAAAATCCTTACATTGCACTCAGAACCAAGGCGAGACCTGAGATAAGGCAGCAATTTCTTCCATTGCTCACCAGTCTTTCCATTAGCGCCTGTCCATTCCCAATTCAAAATTCCTCAAAAAGCAAACAAACAAACAAACAAACAAACAAAAAAAGGCTCAAAAGTTCAAATAGTGAAAAAGATACGCTGAAAGATTCGAAATTCCGACAAGAGAGAGCAAAAATACCTCTGGGGTTGACTACAAAGACGAGGTCCCGCCGGCGAGAAGCACCGCCGCCAATTGCTCGATCAGCCGCGAGATCGTTGGTCATGGGTTGCACTGGTTTCGCCATTGACACGATGCCTTGGAATGCTAACATATTTTATAACTGGATAAACTGATATGTTTCGCAGTCTTAAAACTAATAAGACCAAAAGTAGACAGTGATTAAGAGGACTAATACCAGGAGTATTAAGCTCTGTAGTCTTCAGAAAATGAAGATTTAATAAGAGGCAAATTAAGGAGTTCGCTGAAGGTTCTTATAGTAACTTTAATACTAATAAGGTTATTAAGACAAGGGATAGGTTGTTTGTGGGATTCATTACGTTAATTAATTCTGATTAGGATGATTTTGTTTGTTTTGTTTCATGGTTTTGGGGTGATTGTGCTTTAAGCAACAAATAAAGAGTACAAGCGACAAATGTGAAAATTGAGTTAAATTTCAAGTCTTTGGGAATTCTGAGAAAAAAACAAGATCACATCTTGTTGGCCATCTTCATTCTTTTTTGGGTTTTATATTTTCTTGAATTGATTGATTGTGAACTTTCCAACCACTTTTGGAGATACTTGGACTATGCAACGAAACCAAAAATGGAAGAACAATAACAATACATGATGGCAAGGGCTTATAATTTGATTTCCAAAAAAAAAAAAAAAAAAGATTCACTTTATTAAAAGTGAGAAGCGATTTGTGTCATATGAACACATATGAACACTGCCATGATATAGCTGAAACTTGGACTAGGTAATGTAACATTTTGGGTACGAATAGAAACATACTCCCTCCGTCTCAAAGTAAATGTAACAATTATTTTTAATTTAAGGAGAGAACTCCCCAGAAATTCAAGAACTGCAAGCCAAGTATTCCATCTTCTTCACTTAAATAGACATGCATATTTGGCTGCTCCTCCTGCAAATGGTCAAGCTTGATTCTTGTTTAATGGAAGAAGCAAAACATCGAATTAGTGCCCTTCAAACAAATCATTTCCTGTAGAAAGCGTATATGTTCCTGCAGTAAACTGAAACTCCTGATAAAGAATGACAACAGCTAAAAAAGCCTTCTGTTTTTAAATCATTCAAAAGCCGAATATGCTAATACTGCTTTAAGTTTACCCCTGAAATTAAGAAAGAAAGCATAAAACTAATGAAAAACAGAGGTCTAAAGGGAAGCAATTCCGATTAGAGGGTGAGAATTTGCATAACAAATTTGTTTTCAGAAGGACTTTCATGCCTAATTTGCTCAAACAGAGAGAGGAGCCAAGGAAACTTTTACCAACTGCAAAAATTCCACTCGTGATAAAGTCCTAAATACAGAGGGATACAAAATATTACAAATACAGGGTAAATGCATGTTTAGTTACATGATCCATCCCCTACTATCATTGAATGAACCTGGAAAATATGATGCAGCGGAAAATAGGAGAAGTGGCTCTTTTAAATTTTCATCGTCTTGCCCTTTGTTTCGATTTAGAGCTGAAATGATGTGATTTGAGCTTTTTCTTTTTCACCACATTCGCAGAGCCAGTGCTTTCACTAAATGGCATGCCCAATAGGGCAAGTAACCTCTGAGCTTCTTTGTCAGTGTTAGCAGTTGTAGCTATACAGACATCCATTCCTCGTGGCTTACCGAGAGCATCAAAACTGAGTTCCGGGAAGACACTCTGATCGCGAAATCCAAGACTGTAATTCCCATGTCCATCAAAACTATTGGGACTTATACCCTGAAAATCCCTTGTCCTAGGAAGTCCCAAATTTATCAGCCTGTCAAGAAAATTATACATGACCTGCAAAAAGAATAAACAGAGAATGTCAAAACCCCGACAAATATACTACTATTCACTTGCACCTTTTCACATTATAACAGCTGAAAAAGTTTAATATCTGTTGTAACTTCATGCATCCACTATCGTCGTGTCATCCAATATTCCAATTGTTTTTCACCAGTAACACCGGTACTATAACTTGAAGGAAACCCAGTTTTAAACCTCAGGCACCACGTGCCAAATATTGTTCCTCACGTATAAAACGGGACTCATAATGAGGACAAGCCGACGTCAAACAATCATGATAAAGAACATTTTAAAACCATCTACACAGAAAATGAGATGCCAGTTCTAGATCACGGGTCAGTCACTGAAACCACAAGACTCAGAACCTCTTTACTCATAAAAACACATCAAAGCTGATTGCAACTAAAGAACGAAAAGAGATTCGGGAGTGGGGTTGGAAAGAGCATAAATTTCATAAGGAAACCCCAATCTGTTCTACTTGCATCATAATTTTCTAATGACAAACAGACAAAATCACAAGATGATGATCGCTAGGTTCGCAAACAGTCAAGACCAGGAGAAAAAGCAAAAGGCAGCATGAATCTGTTTTACACCATCACAAAATTAATAAAAACTCAACAGATAGAAAGAGGGCTAACTCACATTTCCACGGAGGGTAACAGCGATTCCCAGCGGTTGGTTTTCTCTAATCTTAAAGGTGGCAATGGCATTCTTGGCCCTTGTTTTAATAGGCCTTTGCCCTGTTATGAGAGCCAAGTCATTCATGGCGGCATCCAAACCCTTTGCATTCTGTGCAGCATCTCCAATACCGCAGTTCACAACAATCTTTTCAACCTTGGGAACCTGTATCAAAGGGCCAGTTCAGGTAACTGACAAAGTAAAATTAGGGCAAACAAAGCTGCAAATACAGAAATTTTCCTGATTTCAATTAATGTAAACCAAACAAAAATACCCCCAACCAAAGAAACAAAAACAATTCAATTCCTGTATTGAAGATTTCGAGTAATGATAAATCGCTATGGCTGGTAATTTGGGCTAGAACAACAGCGAAACATGAACACTAACACAAAAGACGAGCAGATTGCCACGCTTAACTTTAACACTGAAAATTCTTCATAAATTCCTCAACAATTTCCTCAGCAACTAACTTAAAAATGGTATATTTACTGCATAAACCTAATCTAAGAGTAAAACATACATAATAGTTTATGCATATTCAGTGGAAAGATGACTACTTGGAAATTATCTGTTTCACTCCAGTAAAAGTACAAAAAGAAGTAAATAAACATTCTGAAAAATCGAACATCAGAAACAAAGGCTACCTGATGAATGTTAGTGTAATTGAACTCTTCTTTGAGCAAAGGAACGATTGTTTCAAGGTATCGACTCTTGAGCCGGTGAATTTTCTCCGTCTCAGTCTTCTCCACAAGGATGGTTCCCGACGAGGCCTTGACGGTTAGACCAATGGGCCGAGCCTGAACCAGCAGCTTAGCGGAGGACGCCGGCGGTATCCGGACACAATGCGGCGGAAACTGGCCGCAGAATGAAGAAGCGGCTGAGTGTAAAATCGCCGGCGAGGACGCCATTGTTTGAGGTGAGCGAGAATAGCTTGGTCACGATAACTGGGAAATGGGTAGGACCGAATGGATCAGCAAAGGGATAACGAAATTTGTTTCGGTTTTTCTTTTTGGGATTAAATTTGTTGTGGAAGCACGCGCCAAAGCCCAAAGGTACGCGTGCACCGAGTATTTCTTTAGGTATTTGGTGTTAATGAACAACAAAAATAGGGGGGAACAAGAAAAAGAGAAGTAATAATCATAAAGTATTTATAAAAAGTATTGGAAAAAGGCCAATTTGTTCATAAATGGAAAGGAGTTTGGCTTAGTTTTTTCTTTTCTTTTTTATTTTTTACAAATTTTCCTGATTAGGAAAATCATCTCCCTAGTTATAATTTTGGCAAAACAAATTAATATAGTTGATTGAAATGTACACATGTGAAGTACTAGATCTGTGCTACAAAAATAATCTATATTATATTCTGTGAATTATATACTAAAACTAATACAATTCATAAATTATAATAAGTGTTGTAAAATGAATACCAAAATATATTAAATGTGATCATGCACAAAGTAAAGAGAACTACTAAGCATAATGATGTACAACTACTCATTATGTATTTACAAATTTACCATTATGTTTGGCTATAAATAGGGAGAAAAACTAGTGGTATACTTGCACAAAAAATTACATGAATAAAAGCCTTTGCTTCCTTTACTTCTTTCCCATATTTTCCTTTTCAAAATAATTAATCATTTTCTCTCTCTCCTCCAAAGCGTTATAATTATTTCATAACATTTCAATAAATATAAACTTATTATATTAAAGTCTCTAGTAGAGAAGTTATATATATTAAATACATCACCTCCTAAATAAATAATTTACTAGAACCTTTGCTTGGAATATTGTACTAGGCGTTAGTTTTCCAACACGTTATCAGCACGAATGCTCAATGGTCAGCGAAGAGAACTATGTCTTTAAACTTGTCAAAACTTGAATTCAATGCTCTCACTTACACCGGAGACAACTACATGTCCTGGAAACTTGACTTGTCAATGCATCTTGAATCATTGGGTCTTCTGAGAACGATAACAGAAGATGATGCCACTGCCCAAGAAAAAGTGAGGGCATTGATCTTTATTCGAAAACATCTTGATGATTTTCGTAAAAGTGAATGTCTATCGGTCAAAGATCCCAAAATTTTATGGAAGGATCTTGAAAAAAGATTTGATCACCAACTTGAGGTGATGCTTCCAACCGCCAAAGAATAATGGAATGCATTACGCTTCCAGGACTTCCAAAGGGTCACTGACTATCATTCGGGACTGTTCTGGATAGTTTCTCGGTTGAGATACTGTGAAGAAACAGTCACTGATACAAACATGATTGAGAAAACATTATCCACATTTCATGCTTCTAATGTTGTTCTGCAACACCAATACAGATTAATGAATGTTAAAAGGTATTAGGAACTAATTTCTAAACTTATGGTTGTTGAAAAGAATAATGAAATATGGATGAGAAATCATCAATCTCGTCCTACGGGGTCAATAGCATTTCCTGAAGCAAATGCTGTTGGGCCAAGTAATTTTGAAAAATACAATAACCGTGGACGTGGTGAAAATCGTGGCCGTGGAAGAAACTATAATTTTGGTTATAATTATGCAAAAGGTTATGTTCCACAAGAAACACAAGCCCAATTCCAGGAAAAGAAAGTGAATAAAGGAAATATTCTTGAGAAGCAGAAGAAGGTTGAGACCAAATGTTTCTGATGTGGTAGTACAGGACATTGGGCACGTGTTTGCCGAACACCACCACATCTTTGCCAACTCTATAAGAAATCAAAGGGAAAAGAGAAAGAAGTAAACCTTATTGAATAAGTGGATAATGCTACAAACTTGAATGCATTGGATTTCAGTGAAGACTTTGCTGATAATTAAGGGCAAATTTTTGCCCCACCGGTATAAAGTTAAAATTATATATGGGTCTTAATGTTGTAATAATAATGGATCGATGTATGATCCTTGTTTCTAAGTGTGTGGTATGGATGTTGTAATAATAATAATAATGGATCGATGTATGATCCTTGTGTCTAAGTGTGTGATATCAATATTATAATAATAATGGATCGATTTCTGATCCTTATATCTAAATGTATGGTATCAATGTATGAGTTTATGTCTGAATGAGTAGTCTGGATATTGTAATGATGATCATTGTATGGTCTTATATGTTATGAATTAATGTATGACATTGTGTTTTTGAATGTATGAACTTGATGATTGTGATAACTCTACTTGTTAATAACTGTTGTTTGTTTTTGTTTGAAGTTTTGACATAGAAATTCGACAGAAAAGCAATATTGGAGATTTTTGTATTGCGGACAGTGGCACATACTATTTTGAAAAACAGAGAATTTTTTTTTTCGGAGTTAAAACCGACAAAGGCAATCGTGTATACAATATCAGGTCCAACGAATTTGATTAAAGGGATTGGTAAAGCCAATGTCACATTACCAAAAGGAACAAAAATTGTGATTACTGAAGCATTAATATCATTATGTATGAATCGGGAAAGATACAAATATTAGAGAGATTGCCACTTTCTAATGGTCTGTATTATACATATATAAATGTGATTGAATCACATATGACAATGAAAAAAACTTCTTCGATCATTCTGTAATAAATTTGTGGCATGAAAGATTAGGCCACCCCGGATGTATAATGATGCGAAGAATTATTAAAAATACACATGATTATTCCTTAAAGGGACAAAGGATCCCCCAGAGTAATGGAATTCCATGTGAAGCTTGTTATCTTGGAAAATTGATAATGAGACCATCACCATTAAAGATTCAAAATGAATCACCTATGTTTCTTGAAAGGATTCAAGGTGATATATGTGGACCGATATATCTACCATGTGGACTTCAGATATTTTATGGCTTTAATAGATGCATCTAGTAGATGGTCACATATGTGTTTACAGTCAACCCGAAATGTTGCATTTGCAAAATTTCTTACTCAAATTATAAAATTACGAGCTCAATTTCCTCATTATGCAGTCAAAAGGGTTAGACTCGATAATGTTGGTGAATTTACGTCTCAAGCATTTATGATTATTGTATGTCTACTAGAATTATTGTTGAACATCCTGTTGCTCTCGTTTATGCACAAAATGGTTTAGCAGAATCATTAATTAAAAGATTGCAGCTCATTGCTAGACCATTGATCATGAGAACAAAACTGCCAATTTCTGTTTGGGTTCATGCAATTTTACATGCTGCCTCTTTAATTCGCATAAAACCAAGTGCAGATCATAAATACTCTCCCCTACAATTGGCTTTGGGATATGAACCAAATATCTTGCACCTCAGAGTTTTTGGTTCTGCAGTATATGTACCCATTTCACCTCACAACATACAAAAATGGGTCCTCAAAGGAGATTGGGGATATATGTTGGTTTTGAATCAGCTAGTATTATAAGATATCTTGAGCTTTTAACAGACGACGTTTTTACTGCACGTATTGATGATTGCCATTTTAATGAAATTATTTTCCCAACATTAGGGGGAGAAAAGAAAGAATTGGCAAAGGATATTACATGGAATCAACCAACTCTTTTGCATCTTGATCATCGCACAAAACAGTGCGAGATAGAAGTTCAAAAGATTGTACATTTGCAATCAATTGCAAATCAATTGCCCGATTCATTTACTGGTAAAAAGAGTGACTAAATCATATATACCAGCAGCTAATGCTTCCGCTCATATTGAGATTCTAAAAGTAAAAATCATAAAGTCACTAACGAGTCTAAACCGCGACTGAATTATAGTAGACCAATGGGTTCAAAGGATAAAAATCCTCAAAAAAAAAGGGAACTGTGAATGACATTGATGTTGAGAAAATATCTCTTGAGATAATGAAGAATGAAGAAAGTTCCCAAAAAGAGGATATAAAAGAGATAAATGAAGAAATCTCAATCAATTATAACATTACAAATATATTGTTAAACAGAGATGAAGTTGAATGTGATAATGAGATTTTTTGTTCCACAGTTGCAAATGAAATTATGAATGGAAATGATGATCCTGAAACAAAATCAGTTATTAAGTGTCAAATAGACTAGATTGGATAAAATGGAAAGGCGCTATGCAGGCTAAATTAGATTCACTTAATAAGAAAAATATTTTCGGGCCAATTGTTCTTACTCCAAAGGCTGTAAAGTCGGTAGGATATAAGTGGAGTTTTGTACGAAAACGGAATGAGAAAGACGAGATTATAAGGTACAATGCTAGATTGATAGCACAAGATTTTTCACAAAGACCTAGAATAGATTATGACGAGATATATTCTCCTGTTATGGATGCAATTACTTTCAGATTTTTAATCAGCCTTGCAGTTTCTGAAAAATTAGAAATGCATCTAATGGATGTTGTTACTACTTATTTGTATAGATCACTTAATATTGATATTTATATGAAAAAACTCTGAGGGATTTCAAATGTCAAAAACTTTAAGTACAAAACCCAAAGAGATGTATTCTATCAAAGTAGTCTGGAGTATGTGGTATAATGGATTAAGCGATTATTTGATAAACAAGGGATATACAAATAATGTCCTGTGTCCATGTGTCTTTATCAAGAAAACAATATCCGAATTTGCCATTATAACTGTCTATGTGGATGATTTAAATATCATTGGAACATTAAAGGAAATTAATGAGGTGGTTGCATACTTAAAGGGGGATTTGAGATGAAAGACTTTGGTAAAACTAAGTATTGCCTTGGTTTACAAATTGAGCATATGCACCATGGAATATTTGTGCATCAGTCAAATTACGTAGCAAAGGTCTTAAAATATTTTAATATGGATAAAGTATAACCTTTAAGTACTCCAATGATCGTCAAAACACTCAAAGCGGAAAAGGATCCATTTCACCCCCCTCCCCCGACAAGGATGAAGAGATACTTGGTGTCGAGGTACCATACCTCTGTGCAATTTGGGCTCTTATGTATCTTGCTAACTGTACTAGATCTGATATTTCTTTTGTAGTTAATTTATTAGCAAGACACAGCTCATCACCAACAAGAAGGCATTGGAACGGGATCAAACACATATTTTGTTATCTTTGGGGAAGTATTGATTTAAGCTTATTTTTCCTAATGACTCGAAACAAGATTTGATTGGTTATGTAGATACAGGTTATTTATCTGATCCTCATCAGGAAAAATCTCATACTGGATATGTGTTTACATATAGAGGGTCTGCGATTTATGTTGTTCACAGAAACAACATTAGTTTCTATTTCATCAAATCATGCAAAAATAATTACATCACACGAAACTAGTAGAGAATGTGTTTGGCTTAGGTTGATGATACAACACCTCAAAACGTCATGTGGTATACCAGTCGAGAAAAGTCCAACTATCTTATATGAAGATAACTCAACATGTTTTCAACAGTTGAAAGAAGAATATGTCAAGAATGATCGGACAAAACACATACCACCAAAATTCTTCGCATATACTCAAGAACTCATCAAGAAAAATGACATTGATGTTCAATATGTCATGTCCAATAATAATTCAGTTGATCTCTGCACAAAGGCAGTTCCTACTGCAATATTTAGAAAGCATGTTCATAATATCGGTATGCGGCACCTACACAACCTGTGAAAAATTACCGATGTTATCATCAGGAGGAGAAAATTACGCACTGTACTCTTTTTTCCTTCGCGAAAGTTTTTTTTTCCCACTGGATTTTTCTTTGGCAAGGTTTTTAACGAGGCAATATTTAAGCGTAATTAATACAATTGATTTTAAAAATTTTGTCATCCAAGCGGGAATGTTGTAAAATGAATGACAAAATATATTAAATGTGATCATGCATAAAGCAAGGAGAACTACAGTTAAACCTCCTTAAATTAATCCTCTATTAATTAATAATCTTTATTAAATAATATTTTTTTTCCGGTCCCAACTCGGGACCAATAAAAAAAAACTCGATTAATTTATAAGATAATAATTTTTTGAGAATTTCCTATGTAAATGTAGATCTCCACAATTTCATAAATTAATAAATACCCAAAATAATAAATTTGATTTGAGGATTAACTTAGATTATAACTTAAATAATCTTATTTATGTTTGTAATTATCATGTTTTGGTTTCATTAAAAATATTTTAATGTTATGGTAAGGGCTGAAACTGACTTTTCTTGATGTAAAAAATAATAAATTTATACTTTTTCTTATTTATAAGATAGAAAAAACTCTTTAAATTAATAAAATATTAATTTATCGACAAATTAATAACTCTATAAATTAATAAATTTTTGGAGGCCCAAGTATATTAATTTAGAGAGGTTTTACTGTATTAAGCATAGTATTTTGATTTTGATGTACAACTACTCATTATGTATTTACAAATTTGCCATTATGTTTGGCCATAAATAGGGAGAAAAATTAGTAGTATACTTGCACAAAAATTAGATGAATAAAAGACTTTGCTTCCTTTACTTCTTTCATGTATTTTCCTTTTCAAAACAATTAATCACTTTCTCTCTCTCCTCCAAAGCCTTATAATTATTTCATAACATTTTAATTAATGTAAACTTATTAATGCAAATTTGGCAAGTGGCAATTTTGTGCATAGTGCTGGAAGGCATAGTGTTGAACAGTCAGCTTCTCCAAGTGACTATTCAACACTATGCCTTCCAGTGCTTGTTGAGATTAGACAACTTTTATTAAATTTGTCTTTAATGCTTTATATAGGATTTTCCGAAATGAAAATGAGGTAGTACATGTCATTGCTGCCTTTCTGAAGTCTTATGTTGTTTCCAACAAGTTTAATGTATTTTCATTTTTTTGTTAAAAAAAATTTACTTTATAGAGTGTCAAATTTGCATAACAAATCAAGATACAACAATTATTTCAAAATTAAATAATACTTAGTCAAGCTTACATTTTGAAGTTAACATTTATCATATCTCAAAAAGTTTTATGATACATTTATCATTTTACAAACATTATAGGTAAGTTGTGTGTCATTTAATATAATATTGTAGATGGAATATTATTAAGGAAGAAAGAAAAACTTATAAAATTTAAATATTTGTACTCTTTTTTTTTTTTTAAAAAATAATTGTCCCATTTGATGTACTAATTTTAAATAACGCAATAAGTCTGGGATGAAATTACGAAAAAAGTACTCTCTCTGTTTCGAAATTATTGTCCGATTTAGATTTTTTTTTATTTTTACTATAATTTAAACTAAAAATGAAATTCTAAACTAGACAATAAGTTTGGAATAGAGAAAGTATATATGATATAATTCCAAAACTACATAAAATACGTAAAAAATTAAAATTATACATTTGCAAAATACAATACTAAACCATTTTAATAATTTTTTTACAAACACCTTAAACAAAAAACTTAAAATAAAAACACAAAACAGTGAAAAAGGAAAACAATCCTAAACAATATTCTCCCACGCGCATTCATAGACACACACGTTCGCCCAAACATCATCACAACACGAGTCCTCTGAAAAACTCCACCGTCGAAACCCGGAAGCGTGCGGGCAACCGAAGACGGCGCGTAAAAGAAAACACATCAATGAAATAAAAATAAAAATAAATAAAAGTTTCTAATTTTTACATTTTTTTCCGCTGTTCAATGGTGGCTAACGTCATCCTTCTTCTTTGTTTCTGATTCATCAAAATCAAAAAAAGAAAACAAGAAAAATAACACAGACAAAACTTCTCCCATTGGCCTTCAAATCTCATCCTGCGCTCCCAAATTCAGTCCCCAAATTATTATATATAGATAGATATATATAAGAAATGGGTTTTCTCGACATAGCTATTTGCTGATTTTTCTTTACATATACGATAGATAGGGATACTGTTCTGCTTCGGAGGAAATTAGGATCGATCGGTGGAAGAAAAGGGATTTTTTTTTTTTTTGGGAAAAAACTCGATTGGAAACCCTACCGATGGAAAAACCCTAGGATTTATTTATATAGTCTGATGTGCGTATCGTGTTGAGGAGACTTAGAAATTGAGAGATTGATTGATACTCTTTTGCGGTAATTTTGGGGCCGGAATCTTTTCGTTTCTTTTTTGGTTAGGGCTAGAAAAAGTTACGGGGTTTTTCTCTTCTTCTTCTTCTTCTTCTCTTTTTTCTGGGAGGGTCAATTTCATCGTTGTTTGTATATTGTAGGATAATACGCGGTAGTAGGGAAGCTATTATCGGTGTTGTGTTGTGTTGTGTTGAATCTCGGTGGGTTCGGATTGAGCTGGATCGCGAGTTGGATTGGCCTTAAATTTCAGCGTTTTGGGGACGATTCGTTTTTGCGCTGCTTCTTGTTGAGGTCAAATAAAGTGTTTCGTTCCACTTTTGGTGTCGTGGAAGCTATTATCTAGTGGTCGAGCTGACGGGTTTGAATGTTTGTATAAAAATCTTAGTGCTTTCTTATTGGATGTGTGTAATTTTTAGCAATGGGGAGACGGTTTGAGTAGCTTCAATAGATCGCCGTGCGGTGCAAAACTTTTTGTTTTTTTCGAACTTTTTGGTTCCTTCTAGTTGGTTATTCTGCATTGATTAGAGCCATATTCAACTATTGAGAGTTTGTTTTGACCGAGGATTTGAAGAATGAGCACAGATAGTGAAGCTCGGAGCTCATTGGATAAGGATATTGCTGATGGCTGTTTGAAATTCGAAAAGTAATTAGCTTCCTTTGGCTCCTGTGTACTTCTTTTCCCCCCTACAATATTGAATCTTCTTGAAAATGTTTTTTATTTTTTTTTTCTGATGGGCCAGGGGATTGAAGATCAGGTATACAAGAGACTTCCTGTTATCTTTGAGTGAGTTGGAATGTTGCAAGAAGTTGCCAAGTGGATTCGACCAATCGTTGCTGAGGTAACAGACATGATAGTTTCTGGTTGATCTGTTACTTTTTTATGAATTAAGATGTTGGTCTCCCCTTTAAGTGCACTGTTTTGCCTTTTGCTTGTGTTTATTTTCATCCAGAAGTTTTAGGATTTATTTTTTGAAAGTAAAATGGGGAGAATGGGGGGTTTCTAAGAATTGAACTTTAACTGGTTGAAACTGATGGTGAGCACTTGGTCCTCTATGCAATTGTTTCAAATCTATAATGTGTAAGAACCCTGATTTTTGGATAAGAGTGTTATAATACTAAGCACGGAAATGAAAATAAAATAAAATTAGAGTTGTAGAAATGAGTGAGTTGCGAAGGGCGCCTTAGAACTCTAAATATAAATATGAAATCATTAGAAAAAGAAATGTGATAGTCTCAATGCTGGAGGAACACGGATACCTTTTTTTGTTTGATTGGACATGTTGGTAGGAGACCTGAATGGCCACAACCAAGCGTGTGGAAAACATAAAATTGTTAATCAAGTTTGAAGGGGAAAGGGAAGGAGGAGATCTAAATAGAATTGGAAGACATGTATTATAAGATAGAGACTCAGTTGTTACCGATAATGCTCCGACATTGCCCCCGCCTCCTCTCACTAACTATGGTCTTTTTTCATCAGTGAATTTGAAGACACTTCACATGGTATTCATGATCGTCTCAGAACCCACAGTAGCTTGCCAACACAGGGCTTCAGGCGCACTGAGTATGGATCATCGCCTCCAACTAGAGGAGACTCTGGAAATTATTCGAGGCCCGTCTATGGAAGGTGGGACAGCCGTTCTTCTGGCCGCAGTGACCGAGATAGTGACTCACAATCTGATAGGGAATCAGGTGTGTTATGCCTTTTTAATAAGTGAATTATTTCTTTCAGCCTAACTCGGCAATTTTGGTCTTGGATGATTGTGGCCTTCTTCACAGTTCTGTCTAATTTAAGGCACATGCATGTTTATGATGTTTGTTTGAATTTGAAGTATTGACCTTTTTTTTAAATTAAAAAAAATTATCTTTATTTTTATTGGGGCAGTGCAGTAAAGTCCCCCCCCAGAGGTAATGATCTAGTGTAGAGATATGTTTTTGCCACTAATAATCCTTTTACTTGCTGGGAGTGGAATTTTGGCCCATTTTGGAATCATTTTGATGTTTTAAGTTTTTCAATATTCTCGTCCACAAATGAAAATGATGAATTCTGTGATTCAACTGCCTTATTTTTTATTTTAATTTTTTTTTGTGCTTCTAATTTTATTTATCCTTTGGTCAGTTTGTTCCTAATTCAATTCATTTGCTCTGCTTGAGATTGTTTTTCACTGTTAATCCTTTAGTTTATGAGTATTGTGGCTATCTTGCATGCTCCTTTCATTGGTATTCTCTCTTTCTCTAGCCCCCTTAACTATTTAACCTCATCATTAGATTCTGGAAGGCGGTATGGCAATCAACCTCGGAAGTCCTGGCAAGGCCCTGAGCATGATGGACTTCTTGGCAGTGGTTCATTTCCTCGACCATCTGGTTATTCAGCTGGTGTCTCGGCTCCGAAGGTGAGATCCAATGATCAATACCATCATAACCGGAGTAATGAGCCATATCATCCTCCTCGCCCATATAAGGTTTGTGCTCTTCTTTTGTGTATTTTTTCTCTTATCTTTCGCATTTATTTTGCCCCTTCCATTCAAATTTCCTTTCCCTTTGTCAAATGCTTTTTTGACTGGGGAAGTTGCCTAAAGTATCTCAATTCTGATCTTTTCAGGCAGCTCCCCTATCACGAAGAGATACCGATTCATACAACGATGAGACATTTGGTTCAACTGATTCCACTAACGAGGACAGAGTGGAGGAAGAAAGAAGGAGAAGAGGTCTGTGGAAATTGGTTCTCTTTCAGTTGACAAGCCAATGCCTCATTTTTTGATTTAGTGAAATTTAAATATTGTTTTGTCTTTTCAGCTTCCTTTGAGTTGATGAGGAAAGAGCAAACTAAAGCTCTGCAAGAGAAGCAGAAACCAAATGTCGAGAAGCATAAAGTCGACTCCATCTTGGATGTTTTACTTATGCCCGATGATGTCAAAGAGGAAAAGATGGTAATTAATCAGGATAATGAGTTAGATGCCACCTCTAACCCAAATAGCATTGATCCTGGAAAATCTGCTTCGCATTCACAAGCTCCATATAGACCACTTGTACCTCCAGGTTTTAAAAGTTCTGTTGTGGACAAGACATCTGGTTTGAAATCTTTATTTCCGCAAGGTCATTCAGTAGAGGTAAGTATCTGTAGCTATCTTTTGACTTGTGCAAATTGATTATTTTTGTTTCATTCAAATTTCAATGGTTTGATAAGATTTTCTGCATTTTTTTGGGGTTCAGAATGGCAGTCTTAGTAACATAGAGGGAAAAGCTTTAGGAGAACTAAATTCAAATGATGAGCCCAAAAAGAGTACTTATATATCCAACAAGGATGAGCAAAGTGCAAATTCATCTTTACTTCCGAAAGTTGCCAGCAAGAAAATGGGTGTGGAAGACTTTCCTCTTCAAAATTCTATTGTATCAGAAGCTCATGAAGCCCTAAACGAACCTGACTTTCTCAAAGTTTCTGGTCTGAAACTTGGTGGGGAGTTGAAAGAAAATAATTCAACATCGATCCTGGATAAGATATTTGCCAACACAGCTGCCAATGTTAATATCTCAGTGGATTCAGTTGAGGTATTTTCTTCCCATACATTTCTGATGGTACCTCTTTATCTCTCTGTGGATTCTCTCTGTTGTTTTATGTTGATTATAAATTACAAAGTTGCTTTTTTGGATCTTCTCCTCATCGCATGTTTGTCTAAGTTCATGGCTGTCGATGGTCACTCCTTATTCCTTTCCGATTGCATGTAGTGATTCCTGGTTCATTATATCATATCAAAAATAAATAAATAAATATAATCCTTTTCTAAGAGGTTTCAAGTTTCCTGTACTAAATGATCGTTGAAATAGAAAATTCTATTTCCATGCATCATCTTATTTAAGGTGTCTGTACCCTCTGTGGATTAATTTGACCTGGCAGTAAGTGGAGAAATCAATTTCTCATCTCCTTTTCTTTTGTTTGTACTGAAAATTCGTAACTGTTTATGATTCTGTTCCTTATCTTTCTACTAGAATCATGCCAATAAACCTGAAGATTCATGGAGCCCAAAAACTGTGCCCTCCTCAAAGTTTGCTCGTTGGTTTGCTGAAGAAGGTACAAGGATTTCAAGGATATTGCAAAACTTGCTTTAATTTGTTTCTCGCATCCACCTATTTAAACTCTCTTATACTGAAAATATATCTTTAATACAGAAGGGAAATCTGAAGATGAACGCTCAAATAGGCCAACGGATTTGCTGTCGCTGATCGTTGGTAGTGAGAAAAGCAGAAATCAAGTTGACATAAAGCCTGTGCAGCCTTTTCCAGCGGAGTTCCCTGGTCAGGGACCTGAAATTGCTAAGATTGTTAATGTGCCTACACCAAATACGCCTTCTACAGCTAATGGAGTCTCTGAGACACGTTCCAATGGTAAAAACCAAGTTGTTCCAGCCATTTTAACCTGTGAAGACCTTGAGCAGACAATTCTATCAGAATATGGTGATAAGAGTCCGAAATCAGAGCTACATTCAGATGGCTGGAGCTTATCTGGTATGGAGCCTGAGCGGCCAAGAGCCCGGGTAGATAGTGATGCTTCTCAACATCTCCTTTCACTTCTACAGAAGGGAGCCAGCATAATAGACACCACATCCAAAATTACTCCTGATGTTTCTTCTGAATTTCTGCCTGCCACTTATAATACTGGACAAGACATTAGCAAGGATATCCATACTCCAGGAGAGAGTCTAACACTCGAAACTCTCTTTGGGTCTGCTTTTATGAAGGAGCTAAAATCAGTTGAAGCTCCAGTTTCTGCGCAGAGGGGTTCTGTTGGTTCTTCTCAGGTAGAATCTTTGGAACCACATGGGCTGTTGCCTCTTGCAGATAATGGTTTATTTACTTCCAATATGGACCAAGTTGCAATTGAAAAGATGAGTAATGAGAAAAATATGTTGGCGTCAAACCGCACGCAGCAAGTAAAAGTCGGAAAAACTGAAAAATGGCTTGGATATGATGATCCACAGATTGACCCGAACTTGTCAAACCACCAAGCTGGAGTAAATCCTAAACATGGTGGTTTAGGTAGATCTGCTGAATATCGTCTTCCTGAAGAGGAAAGTTTGATTGCTGATGAAGATCTAAATGCTCAATTTTCGAGGTTGATGCCAGGAAGAAATTTGAGTAGAAAACAGTCATTAGTCTCAAATGGGGCTGATGATCTTGCAGACAAACTGGCGGCGATGGCTGCACGTAAAGATGAGCGGGCAACAAGTGGTTCAGATGATCCATTTTTGCCTGGTTCTTACAACCAAATAGATCGTGAAATGCCCTACCGTGATCTTCATGCGAAAACATCATCTTCCCACATCCATTCCATGCAGATGGGTCATGGGAGGCCAGTGCTCCATCCATTGGATTCTCATCCTAGTCATATGGACTCTCAAATGAAGTTTGTTGGTAGAGAGAGCATGATGCCGCATGAAGCTCTCGCAACTCAACAATTTCCAGGGAATATGGGTCGGCCTCCTTTCTCTCAGCCAATGGGGGGTTTATCCGGTTTTGATCATCCAGCCCATCACCAAATTCTGCAGCAAATGGCTATACCTGGCAGCTTCCCTCCACACCTGGTGAATGACTTTCCAAGGGGGGCCCCAGTTCCTCACCTTGGAAATCAAACAGCCAGTTTCATGCAGGAAATTAACTCAGCACAAGGTCATCCCTATGGTTCCCACCATCCCAATGTTCGGGGCGTCGGAATGCCATCACCTGGTGAGTATGCATTTTATTCTTTTCTGTTTCTTGCTTCTACTTATTTATTTGAAGGTATAGGATATGATGTTCTTCATGATTTTGTCATGGTTTGGCTCTCTGTGTTGATAAATGTGCGCTCTTTTAACGTTAGCTTGATCCTCATAGATATTTAACTACTGTGTCTTACTGTGTAACATAGCTGTTGTCAATTGGAATTTTCTTTCCGGTGCTTTTGTGTATGATCCTAGATTTTACCGACGAGTATTTTTGTTGTCTTAGAATTTTGCATTCTGCAGAAATTTTCAGACCAAATGTATCTGTAACGATTGTGAACATCTGTAGCTTAGTAGCTTTTGTTTTAAGTTTTAACTATATTGGTACTGACAGGTCCTGTGTGGACTGATAAATTTCTGTCGCCATCGCCAATGTATATCACTATACATTTTAATATCAATGTTTTCAAGTTGTCATAACCTTTTTACATTTTCAAAGCAATTTACTGCACTTCTATGCGACACAAAAATGAAAAACAAAACAATCTTTTTGTGCCATAGAAAGTAGCTATTCAAGTTCTCAGTCATCACACTAAAGTTGAGTTGTGTGACTTCTCATTAATCTCTTCTTGTTGCCTGTTTGGGCCGGCTTAGTCCACAGTTAAATTCTTTATGCTGAAAATCCAGTGTCCCGAGATTGTTTTCTAAGCAATAGTCTTCTGTGGATATTCATCGTCAGGTCCTTCTATTCATGGTGGAAACAATCATCCAGATGCATTTCAAAGATTGGTTGAGATGGAGCTGAGAGCTAAATCGAAGCAGCAGATTCCACCGCCTTTTGCTGGTGGTCATCACGCCCAGGCAATGTATGGTCACGAACTGGATATGGGTTTCCGTTATAGGTAGTTTTGATCATGGAAATCGTTGTCTGCCTCGAAACTTTGATCATCAGCTTGTCTTTTAAGGTTAAGTTGGGATGGCCTTTGGCTTTCCGCCTTTACTCCTATAGTTTTTGCTGAAATGTAAAAATGAAGGAGAGAGCAGGAGAGAATGTGTAATATGTCCATTCCCAACTTTCTGTGTGCAGAACTGTTGTCATATTTCCTTACCATTCTGTTTATTCCCATCTTTTCTTTTTGCCTCTTCCTTCCGTCTACATATCTCTATATGCAACCAGTCGGGTTTCTTTCAACTCCAGACCTTAACGATGGCAAATGTCTCATCGAAGGACAATTTCTCTACCTTTTCTTTTCGTAAATTTTACAGAGATAATGAGGCACGATTCTTCTATTTCTGTATGCGGGGCATTTGAATCATCAGAGAATTTGTGTGAAACGTGAATTTCAACATCGGCTAACATGGTCGCACTGGCAACTAGTTTATTCTCTATGTTCCCCCTCCTACCCGGAAACCCTTGTGTTGTTGACTGCATGTTCCATACAAAATGAGCAATAACTAAGTGTAAGAGAAAACCAAAAGGATTCATCTTCGAACTAAGTGTGCCACAGTTGAGCGTTTCTGTCCAATCGCCACATAGACACAATACAATGTCTCACTCTCATAGGTTTGCCCTGGAGTTCATTTACTTTTGGTTTAATATGGTATCGATAGCAATGGCCGTTTTAAGACCAAATCAAGCATTTTAAGGTAATGAACCCAGTGAAAATGGCAATTCGATGTGAGTAAAATATCTTTACACCATTTTCATTGATTGTCTTTTTAAGTTACGAGACACGCTCATCCATCATGATTCAACTGAGTAACATATCTCGGAATTAATTATCTAATTCTTCACTTAAGCAAGGTTCATCTAGCTAGTTGCACCTACTTGTCTTGCAAAAAGTCGAAGATCATTTTTCTTGAGCATTGTTAGACCCGGCACAACATCAGTGTCTATGCCCTCTTTCTTCATCCCTGGAGGCAGTTCCCAGTCAAATGTGCGCAAAAGATTAGCTAATGCTAACTCCACAGTCAATAGACCCATAGAAATTCCAGGACAACCTCTTCGACCTGCTCCAAACGGGATGAACTGAAACTCCCGCCCGCTTATATCTATATCAACGTTATTAACTTTCCCATCCAAAAACCTCTCCGGCAAGAACTCATCTGGATTTTCCCAATGCTCTGGATCTCTCGCGACTGCCCACGCGTTCACATACACAATAGAGCTGGAGTGAACTTCATAACCATCTAGAACGCAGTTTTCCACTGTGTACCTCGGGAGCAAAAGAGGAGCTGGAGGGTACAACCTTAGAGTTTCCTTAACAACAGCCTTGAGATAAGGAAGCTTTTCAACGTCGTCTTCATCAACAGTTGTTTTTTGTTGTTTTTCAAGGAAGTCATTGATTTCATTCTGCAGTTTTTTCATCATTGTCGGATTCTTCATCAGCGCCGTCATAGCCCATATAATTGTAGAAGCTGAAGTACCCGTCCCACCAAAAAGTACATCCTGCAAATGTTCGTTTTGAGAAAATAAAACGAACCATCAAAATCATAAAACGTATAAAAGAAGTGAGTACAGTCCAGTCAACTAAACGATTATAAACAGTAAGACTACCATAAGCATGGCCTTGATGTGATCCATGGTGAGTTGGAATGAAGAGGTTGATGATGATGATGAGTTGACTTGGATTAACTGAAGCATGAGATCGATAATATCACCATCCATTGACTTGGGCCGATTAGCATAGTCCAAATGTTCATCGATTAATTCTTGATAAAATGAATCAAGTTCTTGAAATACTTTCTCAAGTCGAGATAATCTTCCTGTGAAATGATCCAACCAACCAATTTTCGGGAAGAAATCCGTAAAATAAAACCCGACAAAAGCGTTTTGCGCATCACGCAGGAGATTGCTGAATCTCCTCCCTTCATGGTCTTCTTCATTATAACTTTTACCAAAAGCAACTCTGCAGATCAGCGTAGTTGCATATGACATTACCTGTGAGACAAATAATTTTAATGGTACATCGATTTAACAAAAAATTTAAAACAATTTCTGTACCCAAAAAAACGAAAGAACATCAAATAAATTTTGATGATTAATCACAAAATAAAACAATGTTAATCATAACAACAACAATAAGAAAAGTAGTCCACAACTCCTACATTTAGATTTAGGCATTGCTGTTTGGTAGTATCAACTTAACTACTAAATGTACATTTAAACGGTTTTTTTTTTTCTAATCTCAACTTTTATATATGTGTAATATTAATGGCAAAATATTATTTAGACTAGAATTTATGTATTTGAGACCAAGTTCAAATGTAATGTATACTGCCTAAAAAATTGAAATATTGGAAAAAAAAATCAAATATTTAATTCAGAAAAATCATGTCCCAAGCAGGCAAAATCTGTTGACTTAATATTTCTTCAGATATAAATATGCACTTTACCGTGGCACTCAGATTTGTGATTTTATGATCAGCAGCTTCCCGGCGAATTTTTCCGATCATCCGGGAAACTTCATCTTCTCGAACCGGCCGAAACGATTGAACCCTTTTGATGCTCAACAAATGAAGAACGCAAATCTTCCTCATCTCTCTCCATTTCTCGTTGTACGGAGCCAGCGCGATGTCCAAGCCGTTGTACGACAGCTTCAGCTGTCCGACCATCGGCGGCCGGCTGCAGAACACCAGATCATGGTTTTTCATCACCTCCTCCGCCATTCTCGCGGTGGAAACCACCACCACCGGCAACGACCCGAGCTTGAGGGAAAGAAGCGGGCCGTATTTTTGAGCGAGTTGGTATAAGTACTTGTGAGGTGCTGAATGATCGAACTGATGCAAGTTTCCGATGACCGGAATCCCCGGAGGACCCGGCGGCGGAGGACGGCGATGTACTCTTCCATTTTTGTGTCTGAGAATGAGGAGGATGATTACTGGAAGAAGGGTTAAGAGAAGAAGAAGAAGAAGTTGTTGGAGATCCATTGTTTGAAGAAGGAGAGTTCAATGAATGAAAATGAGATGTGGGAAAATAAAGAGTTTTTTTTTTCCTTAAAAAAAAGTATCTGTATATTAATTAAGAGATATATAAACTATTACAGTACATTGCATCATACTATAAATTAATTATGTAATTCTAAAATATCTTGTTTAGTAACTTTAACCGGTTGGTAAGACTGGAAAAAAACAATAAGAAAAATTAAGAGAGAGATAAGTTTCTATGATTCAGTAGTTGGGGTTGGTAATCTGGAAAATAAAGAGTTAAATAAGTTGGAAAATATAATTTTGTTTGAGCTTTGAGGGAGATGATGATTTGGTTGACTTTTGGATTGGCTTGTCAAGTGTGAATAAACTAATAGTATCTTTTTAATTGAGCCATATGTATTAGTTGACTCACATATGGGCAATTTTATTTTATAATTTGAAAGTTGAGGCTGGTTTAAGTAAAGAGCAAATGGAGTGTGTAAATTAAGATTTCTTTTGTCTTTTATCTGTGAGGTTGTCGAGACTCAAGATAATGGACATATTCGATCTATCTTCCAATTGTCTCTTACAATATTACTGGATATTGTGCTAAACTCTTTACAAAAAAAAAAAAAAAAAAGAGAGAGAGAATATAAATTCATCTTTTGATATAGACTCTTTCCAATTCCCATATCTCATCATTGACGTAGTACAATTATTGGTAACAATTAAGAAGCTCATTGCTCCATATACATTATTAACTTAATAATTAGCATGATTTCTGAAATAGTATTAAATGTACTTGCTTGCCACAAGCTGCAGATCCTCTTTCTTGAGCATTGTAATACCAGGTAAAACTTGATGAGTGTCAATGTCTTGTCTCTTCATCCCCGACGGCAATTCCCAATTAAATGAGTACAAAAGATTAGCTAATGTCAGTTCCACAGTCATCAATCCCATGAAATATCCAGGACAACCTCTTCGACCCGCTCCAAACGGAATGAAATGAAAATCTTGTCCCTTCATATCTATATCCTTATATCTCCCATCCAAAAATCTCTCGGGTAAAAACTCATCCGGATTTTCCCAGTAATCTGGATCTCTTGCAATCGCCCACGCGTTAATGTAGACAATTGTATTCGAAGAAATTGGAAAACCGTCAACGATGCAATTATCCATGGTGTACCTTGGAACTAGAAGCGGAGCCGGAGGGTACAACCTGAATGTTTCCTTCACAACTGCCTTGAGGTAAGGGAGTTTTTCAACATCATCTTCATCAATTATTATTGTCTTTTGTTGTTTATTCCCAATCACGGTTCTTATTTCAGCCTGCACCTTTTGCATTGTTGCCGGGTTCTTCATTAATGCTGTCATGGCCCAAACAATTGTCCCCGCTGAAGTATCCGTTCCAGCGAAAAATACATTCTGCATATACAAAAAAAATATTACAACATCGTTAAGCTTTCATAAAACAAATCAACATGATCTAAGTCACTCTGTTACCAGAAAAATAGTCCACTTTACAGTTTGTAATTTGTACTGTTATTTACAGTACCAATGATCTTAAACTACGATGCAGACTATTTTTTTGAGGACAAAAGACGATATAATGTAGGGGGTCACCTTTATCATGGCTTTGATGTGATCCACTGTAATTTCGAGTGAAGATGATGGGTTTTCTTGGCGCAATTGAAGCATGAGATCGATAATGTCACCATCCATTGATTCCGGCCGGGTTGAATAGTCCATATGTTCATCGATTAGCTCTTGATAAAACGTATCGAGTTCCTTGAAGACTTTTTCAAGTCGGGGAAGTGTGCCCGTGAAGCGATCCAGCCAGCCAAATTTGGGGAAGAAATCTGAAAAGTAGAACCAGACATGGGCGGCTTGAGCTTCATGGAAGAGATTGCTGAATCTCTTCCTTTCATGGTCTTCCTCGTCGTATCTTTTCCCAAAAGCAACCCTACAAACTATGGTGCTTGCAAACCTCATTACCTGTAATTAGTATAGTGTTACTAGCGTACATCAAGAATAAAATAAACATGAAGATTGAAAAGGAAATTCTTTCTGTTTAACAAAAATTTGAATAGTTGAGGGGTTGCCATTGATCCATCAAATTCCGGCCAAGTCGCAAGTCAAAAGTCATCAAGAAAACAATATTATTGGCAAACCAACAAAAACCTTATAACAAAAAATAAAATAAAAATAAAAAAAAATGTACAAAACTTCCAGAATTAATGTTACCGTTTCGGTCAAATTAGTAAGTTTTCCTTCAGCCGCATCCCGGGAAATCTTTCCCATCATCCGGAAAACTTCATCTTCACGAATCGGACGAAACGATTGAACCCTTTTAGTGCTCAACAAATGCACAACGCAGAGTTTTCTCAACTCTCTCCATTTCTCGTTATACGGAGACAGCGCGATGTCTATGCCATCGTACGATAGTTTCAGCGGCCCGAGCATCGGAGGCCGGCTGCAGAATACCAGATCATGCGTTCTCATCACCTCCTCCGCCATCCTCGCGGAGGAAACCACCACCGCCGGCACCGACCCGAGCTGGAATGAAATAAGCGGGCCATATTTCTTGGAGAGCTGGTAAAGGTACTGATGAGGCGCTGAATTAAAAAATTGGTGCAAGTTACCAATCAGTGGGAGGCCTGGCGGACCTGGAATTACTCTTTTGGTTTTGGATTGCCTTTTTGTGGTGTTTTTGTGTTGAAGAACTAGGAGGATGATAATCGGAAGAAGAAGTAGAACGTGCAGAATGTCCATTGTTTTAGAAGAAGATGTTTTTGGTTAAGGGGAAAAAAAGAAAAAAAATCTGAGGTGAGAATCACAAAACAAGTTTAAGTAGATTTGTTTCAACAATGGAGTGAAGGGAGATGCTCACTTGACCTCGTACGTACAATTTGGACTGGTACACCGTATTTTCCCTACGTCTTTCCATGGTCTAAGAAAAATAATTCATGTTATACTAAAAGTAATTTATAATTGAGGAATAAATATACTCTGATTGCGAGTTTACAATCTAATTTTACAATATTGTTACTGTAATGATGTCATTGATCCGCGCTATATTAGTAGTGATCGAACCTTAAATCAATTATATATCAATGAAAGTCGAAACAACTCATTTTTGTAAGTATAAAAATCAAATATAAATACATGTCTATTGGGTATTATGTATACGAACCCAAGTACACTTGATTAAAGTATCTAAGGTCATTTTAGCGGATTCCTTTCAATCGCAACTTAACAATGCGTAACAAAATTAACTTCTTTATTGGTCACTATCTTTTATAACTAAATTATTGTTTGCTGGAGAAATCATAGCCGAAAGTGTCTACAAGGCTATTGAAAACGACAAAGAGGATTGTTTAGTCGGATTCGGTGAAATGTCCGGGGAGATAGGGGTATTGGGGACCGTTTCGATTTTCGCACGCCTGAAATAAGGATGGCCAGAAGTCCTCCGAATTGTGGACTCTAGTTGTTTACAGACAAATAATTGTCCTCTGATTTCATTATTGGGCTCGTACAATTTCGTGTAGGAGCTCAAATGTAAATCCATTGGCCAAGACGTTTTGTATGTTCAACATATGGATAAAGTTTATCCGATAAACTGCAAATTAGCAATCATGTAATTATCACAGATTTTACTCCAAAATGACTAAAATGATTGTCAGTTTGGAGAAAAACTCATCTGGACTAAAGTTACTAAGAGCCTTGTCATGGCATGGTTAATTAGGATAATTACTTTTTCTCCCACGCGTTATACATCCATTCTTATTATAAAGCGAGAAGCCTAAATATTACAGCAAAATGCTCCTCATTTGTTTGATAAAATGATTGAGAGAAGCAACAGAGACGAAGTTACTTAGGCTCTGTTTGGTTGAATTGAATTGGACCCAAGAATTGGAATTGGAGGCCCTCAATTCTAATTGTTGTGTTTGGTTGAAAAAATAGGGGTTCTGGAATTAGAATTATAATTCAAGATGGGGCTCAATTCTTTATTTTAAATTCTTTTATGGGAGCAAATAATTACAATTCGAACTCTAGGGGCTTTAGAAAAAACGCGAGTCACATACGGGTCGTTTTCCGGGTTATAACAAAATGGGTCCTTTTAATTTTGAGTTTTTCTTTTTCTTTTTTTTGCAGCGCTGCACATGCGGTGTTTTTCCTTTTTCTTTTTCGTTTTTTTCCCTTTTTTTAGCGCTGGGCTTTTCTTTTTTTTTTTTTCCCTTTTTTTTTTTGCATTTTGTTAAATTAACATATGTTTTTATTTATGGTGCAAACGAGGTGTACATTATATTAATAATTATTAATAAGATCTATATATTAAAATTAGTATTCTTTTAACAAAAACTATCAAATGTATAATGACATCCGTAATTTATTAAAAATAGATGGTATTAATTATGGGTTAACATTTTTTTTTATCAAATGTATTTTTAACTATACTTGAAATTTTTTTCTCTAAAAATTATGTAAGCTTTCAAGAAGTCGAAATATATATTATTCCATATGTAATTATATACTAAAAATAAAAAATAATTAATTAGCACCATGTATTAATGTTAATCTATACATAAATGAATGGTCTTTACTTTCAACTATATAAAAATTTTACACTAAAACCCAAAAAAAAAAAAACTAAAGATTAAAAATTTATAAAATAATAAAAAGGAGAGGAACAAGGATGTTGTACATGTTACTTGTGAGAATTCCAATCATCACATTCATACTTATGTAATAATAAAAAAATATTTTCCACAAGTATGTATGTATCTATAAATTATAAAATTTATATATATTACTCAAACAACAAAAGTTTTAATATAAATGTATATGATAAATTTATTTTTGTTATCTTATATATGTAAGTAATAAATTTCTTTGATATATAAAATTAAGTATTTATTTTATTCAATAAAATAAAGTACTAAACTATAGATAATAAAAAACTAATTCTAATTTTAGATTTTATAAATTTATAAGGATCCAAACACAAGAATTCGTATTAGAACCTTAATTCTAGTAAATTCTTAAGATCTTCCAAACGAAAGAATTAAGATTTAATTACAATATTAATATCTCATTTTCAATTCAATAATATTGTAATTCTAATTCAATTACAATTCAATCTAACCAAACGGAGCCTTATTAATATGCACATGAGCTCAATTCACAATCTTTATCATTTATGTTGTGATCTACGAATGAATTGGATTAATTGGAAACTCCATTCCGACGAGTCCACTCTTATCAATATCCAAAATTTCATTGTCCTTTGAAAAAAAAAAGAGTTCATATGCCACCCGATCAATGTAGAAACGTTACAGTTTGGTTTGTATAAATTGTTAGCAACCGTCGAAACCAAGTACAGAATTTGAAATGAATGATCTCCAATTCTCTTAATGTTTGTAAATCTAGGTAAACAATAAAGTGGGAGGAATAAAATTTGATATGCGAGGGAATAAAATCGCTCAAAAGTAATTGTTAAGTCTAATATAACAGACACATTTTATTTATATTTTCATTTAAAAGTAAAATAAACATCTCATGTCGCCTCCGGCATGAAATTCCTAGTAGTTATTAAGTGGTGTTCGGTTTTTACCTCCTTATTAGTACCCACAAAAAAAAATGATAATTTGACTGAATTATAAGCTAGGGTGGGATATATCTACTTCATTAGAAAAATGAGTAATATTAGTTGAAATTATGCGACTAGATATCAAGATCTTATCTCTTATTGTTGTAATGCATTATTGTATTACACCAAATTTATCTTTTCAGTCATTTAATTGAAGAATATAATTGGATTTAAATAAATTCGTTAGCCCCCACCCCACTTCAGCAGGGTTTCGGAATTTGCACGTAATATAAAATCTCTCTCAACTATAGGCAAATCACTTAGATCCTTCTATATATAATCCCACTTCAAGCAAGCAAGCAAGAGCGTTCATGGTTTTTGCAGATGGAAAAGTGCGCGAAGGCATCCATACTTCATATGGTTATTCTGGTAAGTCGTCAACCCAAATCCTACTCTCATTGTCATAGCCTAAAAGCTTAACTCGGAGCCGCCGCCTTCATGGTCTTCCGTGAATTACTCTTTTGGACAGCTTTTTGGGGACTAGGAAGATGATAATCGGAAGAAGAACAAGAAGCTAACGGTATCAGAAATTATATAAGTTTTAACTAGATTTGTTTCAACAACAATATGGAATGGAGGAAGATGCTTACTTCACCTCGAACGTTTGGTTTGGACTGGCCCGCCATTTCTATTTTCCTTTTAAATATTGTACAAACTTTTATAGATGACTAATTAGCGTCGTTAGCATCTCAAGAGCCGAGAGGTTTGTAAAATGATTGAAGGACTTGCTCAGCTCGAACATAACTAACTACGGGATGTTTGTTGCCTATTCGTCTCACCAATTAGATATATATAAAATCTTAGGCCGTTATGGCACAATTAAACTAGAACAATCCTTAGTAAAATTAAATTCTTGACCATACAACATATACACACAATCTTTAACAAATTATTAATTGTTTGTAGGAAAATAAGTCAGGAAGTTGACGAGGCAATTTAAAAACGACAAAGAGGATTATATTCTGTCGGATTCGGTGAAAAGGGTTTTCCGGGAGAGAGGGGCACTCGTCATTTCGATTTTTGGTGATGAAATGACCGGACGTCCAGCCAGTTGTGGACACTATAGTTTTACCGACAATATGCCCGTCGATTTCATCATTTGGCTCCAACCATTTTGTGTCACGTGAAAGATGTAATCTATTGGTTGAAAATTTGCCCGCTCTCGTCATTGACATTTCCAAACAATTTGTACGTTGGGAATCGGCACAAAAAATGATGACCCAAAAAACAATCATGTGTATGTATATTAGTTGTTAGAGACTTCACTTGAAAATGACTTAAAAACAATGTCAATTAAGCAATATTTTTCGTGATGATCCTCACAGGAACAAGTTTCCAAGAATCCAGTTCCACCAGACCGCGCGCAGTACGTAACTTTTTACTCGTTACATATAAATAAAAGATTTTAGGCACTTGTCCAAAACTAGTTACTGTTTCGTTTATCCTTATTTAGATAAAATTAAACGAATCATGACATGTGTGACTTATGTATTGTAATCTTAATTTTACCATAGATTTTATGACAACTCTAACGATGTGAATGTGGTGTTTAGTAGACGTGTGACATGTTTTGTCAGTGTACCAAAGAGGGTATTATCATAGTTACACCAAAATATGATTAGGGGTAAACTTTCCTCATGATATGATATAGTAACTCAGTGACATTGCCACATTAGGTTTTTCGGAACTTGGGAAAAAGAGAGGTTGACCGTTGACCAGCAGGCCATAATTAGGACGGGTGTGAGATATTAATTTCATTAGAAAATAAGTTCTCTTTCTATTTCCAAAATTAATTATTATCCAGACTTAAAAAGGGGGCGACCGGATATTGCCTGGGCCAAACATCTAGTTAGATTTGAAGAAAAAACGACGAATTCTAATTTATCTTTTCATAAGTATTCCATAATTCATTTTATTGAAGTATCATTGGTAACGGGAAAAAAAAATTCCTAGCATATACATTAACTTTATAAGGATTTCTGAATTTGCGGGTATTTGTTTGCCACAAGTTGGAGATCCTTTTTCTTCAGCATTGAAAGGCCAGGCAAAACTTCAGTATCAATGTCTTCTTTCTTCATCCCTGATGGCAATTCCCATTTAAAGGAATGCAAAAGATTAGCCACCGCCAACTCCACCGTTATTAACCCCATAGTAGATCCAGGGCAACCTCTTCGACCACCTCCAAATGGAATGAAGTTGAACTCTTGTCCCTTCATATCTGTATCACTATATTTTTCATTCAAAAACCTCTCAGGTAAAAATTCATCTGGATTTTCCCAATAGATTGGATCTCTTGCAATAGCCCATGCATTCACATAAATCGTTGTGTTTGAACTAATTCGGTAACCATCTATGACACAATCTTCCATGCTGTACCTTGGAACTAGAAGTGGAGCTGGTGGGAACAACCTTAAAGTTTCCTTAACAACTGCCTTGAGGTAAGGAAGTTTTTCAATATCATCTTCATTAGTTATTGTTTTTTCTTGCATTGTATTACCGATTTCATCCAGCACCTTTTGCATTATTGTAGGGTTCTTTATTAGCACCGTCATTGCCCAAATAATTGCGGCTGCTGCAGTATCTGTTCCTGCAAAAAATACGTTCTGCAAAATAGAATGCCCGTATTAGATCTCATATCGAAGATCATGTTCCCTACATACAATTTATTTACTGAATCGTTTCATGCATGCTTAGGACATACTTCCTCCGTCACAGATAAAGAGTTCATTATGAGTTTTGAGATTTATACTATTTTTAGTACAAATCAAAACTCACGAACTATTTTTTAGGACAGATTGAGTAATTAAAAGATGCTCCCTTTGTCTCAAGTTATTGTCTAATTTGAGATTTCACTTTTAGTATAATTTGAGCTAAAAATGAAAATCCAAACTGGACAATAATTTTGCGACGATGGAATATATCATAACAAGAAGTTAAAAGGAATACCATTAACATGGCTTTGATGTGATCCAGTGTGAGTTCGAATGAGGTTGATGATGAATTTCCATGGCGTAATTGAAGCATGAGGTCGATAATGTCACCATCCATTGACTTTGGCCTATTTGTAAGGTCCATGTGTTCGTCGATTAAGTCTTGATAAAATGTATCAAGTTCTTTAAAGACGTCTTCAAGTCGGGAAAATGTGCCAGTGAAATGGTCTAGCCAACCAATTTTGGGGAAAAAATCTGAAAAATAAAACCCCACAAATGCGGCTTGAGCTCTATGGAGGATGTCGCTTAATCTCCTCCTTTCATAGTCTTCTTCGTCGAAACTTTTCCCAAAAGCAACTCTACAGACTATATTGCTAGTAAGCCTCATAGCCTGTAATGTAAAGCACGTACAAAGTGACATAAAAGGGAACTTAACATTTAAATAATTATCAAGCACACTCTTTGGATAGTAAAAAATAAATTTTGATTTTTTGTAACATCACTTTAAGAAAAAAACAAGGATTTAACAAATTTTTTTTTTCATATTGCGCACGGTGTTCTAAATGCATTGCACTCAGACTAATCCGTACGGAGCTGGGTCGGTCTTCTTTCAGAGTGAAAACTCTCCCAATATTACTCATTCCCTTCACAATTTTCTTTAGGGTAACATGACTTAACGATTTGTTCCGAATAATGCATTGTCATACAAGACAAACTCCACATCACAAACCCCCCAAAAATTGACTTTTCCATTCTTAGGTAGGTCTAACCTAACTTACTACTTTTTTTCTCTTCCCAAACGATTGTTCTTTTTCTTACTTTCATTTTTATTCCTGTAACTCAACCATTAATTAATTAAGAAAGGACGAGTAGCTTCAATAGAGAGATTCCATGTTCTATCGATATCACCTTATTGGAATACACAATTAGTATTCCATACACCCAAAAACTAATTACCGTTAATCGACTAATTAATCTAAGCTAACGCCATATATCTTACAAATCATATATTTTCCTTAATCCAAAATGATTGTCTCGCTTCAATTTTTTATCTTTAATTAATTTGTGCTAGAACGAAAAATCTAAATCAAACAATTATTTCGAGACAAAGAAAGTATTCAAATACACAGAGACAAACATTTTTTTTTAACTACTAATCTTACATGTATAGCCAAACCATAATGTTTAGATTACCAGAACCATACCGTTTCACTTATGTTAATGAGTTTGAGTTCAGCAGCTTCCCGGGATATCTTTCCGATCATCCGGGACACTTAATCTTCCCGGATGTGACGAAACAATTGAACCCTTTTGATGCTCAACAAATGCACGACGCAAATCTTCCGCATCTCTCTCCATTCCTCGTTGTACGGAGCCAGCGCAATATCCTTCCCGCTGTACGATAGTTTCCGCTGTCCGACCATCGGCGGCCGGCTGCAGAATATCAAATCATGGGTCTTCATCACCTCCTCCGCCATCCTCGCGGAGGAAACCACCACCACCGGCAGCGATCCGAGCTGGAGGGAAAGAAGTGGGCCATACTTTTTGGAGAGTTGATAAAGGTATTTGTGAGGTGCGGAATTATCAAACTGGTGCAAGTTTCCGATTAGTGGGAGTCCAGGAGGACCTGGAATACCCTTTTTGGAGGATTTTTTCGGGTGCTGAAGAATTAGGAAGATGATAACAGGAAGAAGGAGAAGAAGAAGAAGCAAGACCTTAGGAATCAGAATTTCCATAATTTTCTAAGAAATGAAAAGGTGTTTCTACTAAAATAATGTTTGTCTTGGGGGGAAAAAAATGTGAGGCGAGAATCACAAGTTTAAGTATAATTTATTTTTTCTGGTTATCCTTCATTGAGTTGCAAGCAAGCTAAGTACGATTTAGATTGGACCCATCATTGGATTCATTTTCATTTTCCTTTCCTGTTCTATTTTAGGAATTTATATAATACTACAATGATGGAGTTAAAACTGCTCCATATTCATACGGGGTACAATTTTTAGTTGAGTCTTTGCAATATGTAATTTGCGAATCTCCATGCTATATATGCTAAGACATGCGCCTAAGGATTAAGGCTTCGCCACGGAAGTGACCCGAGGAGCACAAGCTAGAGAACTATCTATAATCGGAGATATCATTGTTTCTGATGCAAAAGTTTTTATGAAAATTAGGAATTTGACCTTTTGAGAGTAGAGTGGTTTTCATACAACAACAGGATATCATTTCTACTGAGTAGTTTTTAGGTTTGGTTAATTAGTCGCGTTTTATTCATGAAATGATTTAGATTGGTATTAGTCTGGATACACCAAATCATTCTACATAATATATACTTAATAATACGGACTGCAAAGAACAAACTAATCAACCCCGCTCTTAACAGATACAAACTTAACACAGTTTCGTATATGTGTTACATGTTTCACTACCTCGTTTCATAATATTTTATTCACAAATTAGTCACCGTATACTTTTAGCTCAATTATTGTTTGCCAAGAAATGGTTGGCCGAGAAAGAATACGGTTTCGGGATTTAGACGAAACGTGCAGAAGAGGGAAACACTGAACAAGTTCGATCCCACTCCATAAATAAAGATTCTGACCTTCCTCCCCAGGGCAGCCATTTTTGGACTTTTTGTTCACCGACTAAAATTGTTGATGTTCAATTTGATTATTTGGCTCCACAACTTGTGTCACTATCAATGTGAATGAATGACAATGAATGATGATGAGCAAGTTGTGGATCCAAATAATCTAACCGGCCAAAACATTTTCAAACGACTGTGCGTTCGAAATTCAAAATAAACTGCAATATAAGGAATCATATGTATTAGACTTTACTGCACCTAAGTTTCTCTGAGTAACAGAATTCAATATGTTGTAATCTCCTAAAAATAGAACCCTTCTTAGACATTTGCTGGCGGATACTTCGTGGCTACTTTAATTTGGTCACCCGCGTCCTAGTTGGGAGCTGTGCATTATTATATACAGTATAGTGTAACTTGAACAACCATAAAATTCGTAGAATTTGTACTGTTATTTTTTAAAATTTAGGGCCATAAAACTAATCTTTACAAGAACTAATACCCTTTTTAACGTTTTGATTTAAGAATTTTGGCAGGAATCATCTCTTCACTGTAACAAAAAATAAAAAATAAAATTACAATAATTAAGTTGTTATACACGAAATGCGGATACTAGTATACTACACACACGTTCAGATTTACCAGCAAGGTATTGGAGTGTAATGGAAGCGCGGATTGCTTAACTTTAGTTGCATGCAACTGGATCAAGTGACTTTATTTATAATCTATATAATTAATAAAACTCGTGTTTAGATGATATAATCGACATCTTTTATCTGTGAAATGATTTAATGTATGTTAGGCTTTTGCCTCATTCGTGTTTTTTTTTTTTTTCAAAAAAAAGTTATCATAGTTTAACGTATACAGTAATTAATACAAGTGACCAACGCTGATCAGCGCAGCAAGAGCCCACTAAATGAAACAATAGACCAAAGCTACGAATAATCCAAATACTCCAAACAAAAGGGACCCAAACCGTTGTTTTTTCCTTTTATATTGGGAAGAGATAAAGAAATTCCAAAAAATGTAAAATCTCTAGACAAATTGTATAATACATACATACAGGTGAAAGACATAAATATTCTATAATAAGTTTCGCACGTTTAGATAGACACATTTTGATGATTTTTTTTTGGGTTTTTCATTAATAACATTTCCGTGCATCATGCTGAAATACCAAATCAAGAACTGATTAATTTCTTGAAAATATCAGAGATTCACGTTTATGCGCATACTGGTTTTGCCACAAGTAAGAGATCATTTTTCTTAAGCACCGAAACACCAGTGGAACCTTCAGTATCAATGTCTTCTTTCTTCATCCCTTGAGGCAATTCCCAATTGAATGAGTGCAAAAGATTAGCCAGTGTCAACTCCACCGTTAGTAACCCCATAGACGATCCAGGACAGATTCTCCGACCCGACCCGAACGGAATCAGCTCAAACTCTTGTCCAGTAATATCTATCTTATGATTTTTCCCTTCCAAAAATCTATCTGGAAAAAACTCGTGTGGATTCTCATAATATTTAGGATCCCTTGCAATCGCCCATCCGTTCACGTAGACAAGTGTGTTACGAGGAATTTCGTAGCCATCTATGGTGCAATTTTCCATTGTGTACCTTGGAAGTAGAAGAGGAACTGGTGAATATAATCTTAAGGTTTCTTTCACAATGGCCTTGACATAAGGTAATTTTTCAAGATCATCTTCATCGATGCTTAACTTTTTCTCATGTTTCCCCACTATGACTTCTCTGATTTCAGCCTGTGCCTTTTGCATTACATTAGGGTTCTTCATTAACATTGTCATAGCCCAAGTAATAGTACCCGCTGATGTATCCGTCCCGGCGAAAAACACATTCTGCAAAAATGTTAATTTACAAAACAAAGTTAGACTTTGAGTTAAAGAAAAAGAAAAAATATTTCCTCCGTCCTAAAATTATTACAAACTGAAAATAATTTAGTTTTTATTGTTCTGAACCACAATATTACTCATATGAACAATGATTCTACGATGCCTAATCTTAGAGATGTGACGTTAATTCTATCCATCAAATCATTAGTCAAAACACGCCAGCAATTTAAAAGCACTAATTATTAATGGACGTCATTTGAAGGAATCAATAAAATATAATAATAATAATAATAATAATAATAATAATAATAAATAAAAAATAAAAACGTCACCATTAGCATGGCTTTGATGTGATCCATGGTGAGTTGGACTGGAGAAGATGACGAGTTTCCCTGGCGTAATTCAAGCATAATATCAATAATGTCACCTTCCATTGACTTTGGCCTAGTTTTACGATCCATATGTTCATCGATGAGTTCTTCATAAAATGCATCGAGTTCTTTAAATATTTTCTCAAGTCGAGAAAATGTGCCGGTGTAGTGATCCAACCAGCCGATCCTCGGGAAGAAATCCGAGAAGTAAAACAGCGCGAAGACGGCCTGAGCCTCCCGGAGGAGATAGTTGAATCTCCTCCGTTGATGGTCTTTCTCGTCGTATCTTTTCCCGAAAGCGATTCTACATATCATCGTGCTCGCAAACGTCATTATCTTTCAAAAAGAAACAAAAAAAAAACTTGTTAGAGATGGACCAAACTAATAGAATACTTTCATGATGAAGAATTTTACTTTTACCAAAAAATAAAATCAGTTGCATAAAATGAAATAAGAACTTCTTTCCAAAATCTCACATGAAACACATTTGCTAGATAAAGCAAATTAGCTTTAGAACAGTAATTATCACTAGTACAACAAGTATTGGTAATTAAAAAAAATTGATACAAATATAATGCTAACCCTTCTAACCAATCTTCTAAACACAACATATTGCATATGCTTTAAGTTAAACTCGTGAATCTTGAAACTGTCCGGTAAAGCATAAAAGAAAATGATCATAGATCAAATCAAAGAATTTTCTTGGTTTCCAAATATTTATTAAAAAAAATGACAAATGGTTCATTCAAATCAGAGTTTTCATATGTTAGAGTAGGATATTGATCTATAAATAAAATGGTGTTCTTTCTCAGTGTATTCACCGAAATACGAGATTCAGTGGAAATAATCTAAACAACTAGTAATACTTCACAAAGCATATTTTTCAAAAGATGACATTTTAAAATAACTTCGAAATAAGTATAGATATAGTTTACCGTCTCACTCAGATTAGTGAGTCTAAGCTCAGAAGCTTCCCGGGAAATCTTTCCGATCATCCGGGAAAGTTCATCTTCCCTAACCGGACGGAAAGATTGAACCCTTTTTATGCTCAACAAATGCGCGACGCAAAGCTTCCTCATCTCTTTCCATTCCTCGTTGTACGGAGCCAACGCGATGTCCGACGAGTTGTAAGACATCTTCCGGAATCCGACCATCGGCGGCCGGCTGCAGAATACCATATCGTGGTTTTTCATCACCTCCTCCGCCATTCTCGCGGAGGAGAAAACCACCACCGGCAAGGACCCGAGTTTGAGGGATAGAACTTCTCCATACTTTTGGGAAAGTTTCCAAAGGTATTTGTGAGGTGCTGAATTATCGAATTGATGCAAGTTTCCGATCAGTGGGAGTCCTGGCGGACCTGGAATGACCTTTTTGGATGGGTTTTTGGTATGGTTTTTGCGTTGAAGAATTAGAAAGATGAATACAGGAAGAAGAAGAAGTAAGAGTAGAAGGATTGAAAGGCCCATTGTTTTCAGAGGAAGAAGAAACAAGTATAATGTCTGTTTTCCTCCTGGATTATCTTATCTGTTTGGCAAGGAAAATTTCCCGAGTTACAAAGACAAATTTATGGAGAATTATTGCTTCATTTTTTATTTTATCTATTTTTTATTCGCATAGTGTCTACTATCGATAATAATAACTAATTCTTTCGTTGAGTTATAACTTCAAATGTTCGAATTTAGAAGACGGTTGAAGTTGTGTACTTGGATAAAATATTATGTACAACTACTGTATTAGATAAGATAGTACACCCAGACCAATAAATAAGGTAAAATTGTAATTTTGGAGGAAAAATATAATCCTTGCGGGAGTTTTAATAACCAAGTAGCAGATGCTAATATTTGCTGGACTAAAAATAAGTATACATCAGTTGTATATAATAATATTTGGTGTACTTGGAGTGGCCCAACGTATATATTTTTTTCTTTTTTGGGAATGTTCTAGGATTGTCAGCTGTCACACAAAATAGTAAACGACTTCTGACATTTTACTGGATTACACTTCTTAATTTGAAAGGAGGAGGATTTTTCCAGCCACAAGTTTTAGTTCTTTCAGCCATATGTTTTCAATTTTGACCATTTTATCTTTGCCATTTGACCAAACCAAATAGAGAGAGAGAGAGAGAGAGAGAGAGAGAGAGAGAGAGAGAGAGAGAGAGAGAGAGAGAGAGAGAGAGAGAGAGAGAGAGAGAGAGAGAGAGTAAGCTCCTCGAACCGAATCGGGCAAGTCATCCGCTCCGATTCATGTGAGAACGGACAAATTATTAATTTTTATTTTAATACTAGTTTATATGCAATATCGTTGCATGTTGAATACCTCGTACTTTAAATATTATTAACAATTTTATACTTTAGTGCTTAAACTCTCAACTTTATATTTAATTAAAAATAAACAAGAAATTAGTGTTTACTTGAAAACAAATTTAAGATTATTCGTTAAGTTAATTTATTTGAATTGATATTAAAAAGATAAAATTTTACTTCAATCATTACTTTTAAGATAATTTTTAGTTAAAAATAATAATTATACATTTATAATAAAAAAAATAATTGTACTACAACAATTGTGAAAAATATGTGCAAACAGATTAACTATTTTTTGTACTACAAAGATTGATGATACTTAATATAACTCAAATAACGAATTATTCATAAATTTAATGAATAAAGATTTTAATGACCTAAAAAACTCGATTAACTAATTAAAAAAAATCTAAAAATTTAAAAAATAGCAAATTGATATTTTTTTAATTTTTAGACTTTTTTGAATAACAAATAGTGTTATTTTTTTATTACAAAAAAATAACAAAAAATCTAAAAATTAAAAAAAATCAATGAATTCGATTGATATTTGTTTTTAATTTTTTTGACTTTTTTAAATAAAAAATATTGCTATTTTTTAATTACAAAAAAAATCTAAAAATTAAAAAAAAGGACCTGATCGGACCGATTCACCATATCAGACCAAACCGAGACCGACCATGCAATGAAATCGTTTCGAATGAACCCGTTGGATCGCCCGCCCACTTGTTTGTTCGAACGGGTTCATTGCCCTTTACGAGTTAACTCGGGACGGGCGGTCCACCCGTCCTAAGTTAACTCGGGACGATTTCGGTCGACCGATCGTGCAATGAAACCGTCCCGAGTTAACTCGAGACGGGCAATGAACCCGTTCAGGCAAACAAGTGGGCGGGCGATCCACCCGTTCCGGGTTAACTCAAGACGGTTTCATTGCACGGTCGCTCGGTTTTTTTTTTTTTTTCAATTCTTTTTTAGTTTTCTCTCTAATCAAGTCATTCGATTTGAAAAAATGACAAAGGTAAAATGGTCCAAATAAAAAATTTGTGACTGAATAAATTAAAGTTGGTGACTTGAAAAACTAACACCCATTTGAAAATCAGCTATCGTACTTGCAATAATAAACAATCATAGGGGGATGCTAGAAGTTGACCCAAAAAGAAAAAACAAAAATGCTGGAAATGGGCTGAACAAGATCAACAACGTGTAAGTGTTTCATATTTTGTAATCCTTAAGTTGATTAATCGATGGAAACCTCTGCAAAATAATTTCCGTTAGTAGCTTCTTATTCATTGGAAGGAATAAGCACATCTATAGATTACTATATTACTTCATTTGCGGCTTCTTATGTGTTGGATATTCACATTATGGAAAGTTGGAAACCTCTTCATTGGGTGAAAATATAAATTCAACACGAAATTGTTAGGGCGGCGTGCCACAAATATGTCATTAGTTGATTTTTTTTTTTGGCTTTTGCCCAAACCTAAACTAATTTGAGATTATGTCTACAATCTACAGTTCAATTGACTAGCTCAAACCAATTTTGCTCTTTGTTTTCAACTATCTCACGGATGTTGTTGACTTTTAATGTTCCAAAACAGTATCTTACGGTGTAATATGATTTAAAAAAATTAATAAGTAACTAGAGAGATCGAGTTAGAAACATCAATTTCCACAACATGTACACACTATCTTTTCTTGGATTGACCGCAACTTAATTTGATTTTCTGAACGTATTTAAGTGGAGAAAATGATGGTTTGTAAGTGTACGGAGGGGTAACACACTTTGACCCTCCCGTTGTAGACCATTTTGATCCCCACCATTTTAAATAATTATTTGTTCCTACAATCTTTTGACAAAGGATTAATTAATTCAATACAAGAATAAGATTTTATCAACGAAATTCGCATACACCGATTCGGTATACATCAATCAGTAATTGGTCATGTTAGTTTAAAACTCACTTTAACACTAGAAATGTTTTCGGAAGCCAAATTTAATTCATATCTATAACTAATATAGTTTTGCTTTCATTCATCTTTTTCTAAGACACAGTAGTACGAAGCAGCTTCCCACTTAACAGCCTCAACAATCAACAATATGACTTCAACCCACGATCTATTTTGAACCCACGTTCTATCGTGATTGCTCCTGTATCATTTTGTTATTTCAACTAGGTACCCGTCATTAATTTGTTAGCGAATTATTTTAATCACCAGATGGCAATTATTTGTTTAATGGAAAAAAAAATGGCCTCGTGTTTGGACGATGCATTATTGTTAATTTGACTACGCGACATAGCACTAATAATTCAGTCCTTGAAACATGATGAAATTGCAAATGATTCTAATAACAACGGTATGATAGTACTCTGTCATCCCCAAAAAATAATTTACATTATAATTTGTAATATAATATTTCAATTCAGAACTTAAAAAGTACTAAAATTACATGGTAATATGCAGTCTGTGAAATCTTTCTTTTTTCCTTGAAAAACGATATTTTCCACAGAAATCTGAGTAGTTTAGTGGCAGAAGCAGAAATAGTTCTCTACATGTAGAATTCATATGTGTCCTTCATTAGACGTTTACCAAAAGCTGCATTTGTTTTCTCTCTTTCTTCAAGTGCAGTAAATACAAACTAAATCTTGAATCTTGCTATTCCATCCATTTCAAAATGTAAGTTATTTTAGTTTTTGCACGTAAACTAAGGAGTCAATTATCCAACAATTAATTTATATATTAAATATGTATTTTATCCCTCATTAATTATAACTCCTTCCGTCCCATAATTATTATCCACTTTGCCCAAAAAATTTTGTCCCAAAATTATTGTCCAATTTGACTTTTTATGGACCAAGTTACACATTTGTCCTTAGTAAAAAAACATTATCCATAAAATCTTAGTGGTTAAACAATTACTTATGTAGGGGTATATCCGGTTATTTAAGATAAAATATAGTTAAATTTGATCAAAAATAAAATCTTTCATTTTAGTAAAACTGGATAATAATTATGTGACGGAGAGAGTATAAACAAAACTAAATAAACATTTATTGAGGGCAAAGTTAGAAAAAGAGTCATTAATTTATCTAAAATTTGTGAAATAACCTACATTTTGAAAAATTTATCTAAACCTAAAGCGATCTATCTTGTTGGTTGACCGCTATTAATTTTTTAGTTGTCAACGTAATTAATTGTACGGGGAAAATGATAGTGGCAGGGGTGAAAGTAAAACATGCTTTCCGCAGCTGTAGACAATATTTTGATCCCACCATTTGAATTAATTATTATTTGTTCGTGCAATCTATATCATTAATGGGTCATTAATGAATTAGATATAAGAACAAATTGCGTCCACGAAATTGCAAAAAGCTAACACTAACAGCATGCGGTGTATATATATAATATATTTAATCTTGTGGACGAAATGTAATGAAAATTAATTAGTAGCCCGTGGCGGAAATGATGTCAAACTGAGCAAAACTTTCTTCTGGATGACGATGACCGAATCGTGTATCCGAAAAGGACAGGTGCACTTCAAAATAAAAGGAAAAAAAAAAAAAAAGAAAAGGACTGAATATCTCGTCTTCAGATAGACTTAAAGTGTTTTTCTCACCAAAATCCCCCAACGGCCCAACTCGAACTAAATCAAGTGGATCATGGGCAACCAAAACAAGTTACATTGGAGGATATCTAATACTCATCCGTGATACTACTATTATAGAGGTTGCTTATGCTCATAATTAATATGTCTATTTAGCCACTACGGTTTTACCATTGTACTCGGGAAAAAGAAAATACTCATGTCTTATCTTAAATAGAAACAACACAGTACTTCATCTTTCCCATGATTTGAACTTGAAACCTCAAAAGTTTTCGATATCAATAATTTTGCTCCAAATCCAGATTTTGATGAGATTGTTAGGCACCAGAACTTCTACCTCAAGTTGTATACCATTCTGATATTCTGAACCTCAAGTTGTGGACTATCGATTCACAAATCTCCACCATTTTCACTCTCTTATGAAAATTTTTACACCACAAATATGTGAAAAAGTGAGCCGAATCAAAAGTAATCCAAATGTGGGGTGCACGAATTTAAACCCGAAAAAAATATATATATAGTTCCATATGTTGGTTATTTTGGTTGTGTGTAATCAATTATACCTCACCTTACGAAGCGATCAATCTTACCAGCAAACACCAACGTTAACCACGAACAAGCAAAAAAGTGATCCAACTATAT